CCTTCCCCGTCCCTCTCGGTTTGAGCCTGATTTTTCGCCTCGCCCGAAAAAATCGGCTCAATGGGCATCGGGATATCGAGCAGCTAGCTGACCCGCGACCCTCATCATTTTCAGATACCGTACTGCTTTTGGTTTTTTCTACTCCTGCTGCATCCCAAGCCGATCGATCCATCAGACCGCCTCCGACCCCGACCGACTTACCGACTCCGACTTCGATTGAGACGAATACCCACCGTGCCTCTGCTACGATTCCACGGTCCGTAAAAGGACCACAGCCTTGCATCCAATGGCTTCCTCATCGAGCAACGTCGTTGGCGTGCACTATCGTGTGGGAAAGAAAATTGGAGAGGGTTCTTTCGGCGTCATCTTCGAGGGCACCAACCTCCTGAACAACCAGCAGGTCGCCATCAAATTCGTACGTCGTCGGCTTCGCTCAATCAGGCACCCCATCGCCTATGGCGTTGTGGTGATCTGCGTTGCAGCAACATTTGACTAATCCCTTTTCTCGTCGTAGGAGCCGCGCAAAAGTGACGCTCCTCAATTGCGAGATGAGTACCGCACGTACAAGATTCTCGTCGGATGCCGTATGTTGTCGTCCTCGTTGCCCTCGCATCATATACACTGCTAACCCGTTTTCAAGCCGGCATCCCCAACGTTTACTACTTCGGTCAAGAGGGTCTCCACAATATCCTCGTAATCGACCTCCTCGGCCCCTCGCTTGAGGACCTTTTTGATCACTGCGGCAGAAGATTCACGATCAAGACCGTCGTCATGGTTGCCAAGCAGATGGTAAGTAGGCTCAGAATCGTTGCGTGTAATGCGACTTATCTGACTTGGCACAGTTGTCTCGCGTGCAAACTATTCACGAGAAGAACCTTATCTACCGTGACATCAAGCCCGACAACTTCCTCATCGGCAGACCAGGCACCAAGGCGGCCAACGTCATTCACGTCGTCGATTTCGGCATGGCTAAGCAGTACCGCGATCCCAAGACGAAGCAACACATCCCTTATCGTGAGCGAAAGTCGCTGTCTGGAACCGCTCGCTACATGAGTATCAACACCCATCTTGGCCGCGAACAATCCCGACGCGACGATCTCGAGGCCCTCGGCCACGTCTTCATGTACTTCCTGAGAGGCGGTCTTCCCTGGCAAGGACTGAAGGCTGCCACTAACAAGCAGAAGTACGAGAAGATTGGCGAGAAGAAGCAGACTACTCCTATCAAGGATCTCTGCGAGGGATTCCCCGATGAGTTCAACAAGTACCTGACGTACGTGCGCAACCTCGGCTTTGAGGACACCCCCGACTACGACTACCTCCGCGAGCTCTTTACTCAGGCCCTGAAGAACACCGGCGAGGTCGAGGACGGCGAGTACGACTGGATGAAGATTACCAAGGACTCGGGCAAGGGATGGGATGCCATGAAGGGCCACAACCAGGGATATCTTCACAACCCAAATGCTCGACCCGGCCCGTCCCAGATGGAGCTGCACAGCGGCCATCGGGGCGGTGCTGCAAACCCCAACAACCCACAGAACCTGACTGTCGGCCGTTTAAACGCCGCGCAACCCCCGCCTCCTTCTCCGATCAAGCAGATGGCGAAGTCGAGAGGTCAACCAAACGCCCCCGGCGCCTTGAGCGCGCAACGGGGCAGCGGAGTCGGGGGTCTTCGGGACATGGCCACCCCCACCGGCTCAACTCAGGCCCAGTTTCAGAACAGCAACCGCAACCTCCCCCAGAACGTCCCCCAACAGGCGCCGATGAACCAGCAGCAGGCCCAGCCTAACGGTCGGCCTGCAGAGCCTCAGCCCACAGGCTTCCAAAAGTTCATGAAGGTGCTGTGCTGTGGTAAGTTTTTGTCTTTTGCCCGGATCCAGCCTCGAGGCAAGACAACTAATAATGTCGTAGGTTAGAATCTTGGCTTCTGCTCTTGTTCGTGTTGCCAAAAGGACGGCTAAGACTGCTCCACCACTATATAAACACCCACTGGACACAACCTAGCCAGGCGCCGGATCGATGTTTGAGTGCACTCAGGCGGCCACACCTGGTTGATGACTCTCCAAACACACCACATTCCCCTATGTCCGCCACTCTTCATCTCGACCGACTAGACTCATTCATCCTCCGAGCTACACTTTTTTCCGCATGACGACCACGGAGTGGCACACAGTTGCACAACTGGCTGCTCCTGGATAATGACGAACACACTAGCCTTTCTTTCCGGTTTTTCTCTTCATCCGCGCTACGACGTAGTTTCTCCGTAGGAACCGTCACAGGGCATCATAAAATCACTGGCATGGAAATCTCAACTTGGGAACTGGGACATTCTTGGACCAAGAACTTTCTGTTTCTAAGAAGAGAACCAAAAACATACAACTTGATAATGTACAGCGCAGCACGGCGCAAGGCGGTTGCAGGGGTTTTTAGCATTGGGTCAGGTTCTGCGGCACGTTTTCGTTATGTTGATAATAGGGCTGGCCGTGTCCGGCACAGCTTGAGGCGACTGCACTGTTGAGGGGAGGATGTTGATAGATGGCTGCAAGATGGGGGGGGGGGGGGGGGGGGGGGTTGTTGCGCAGTCGCGGGATGTGGCAAGAGAGGAGTTGTGTGGAGGCTGATAGACAGAAGAGAAGTGGGATACAATGGACATGAAACTTCAACATATGTATACCACACTCGTCGATGAAGCACGCTGTTTCTTTCAAATCTCACACCAAGCGCCATTTTGCAGAGCCTGGCCCGGCTGCTTTTCACGATGTTCAGACTTGTCTATCACGACCCATAGAATAACAGCTTATTAATATATTGCAAACACAGATCTTCCTTACCTGACTTTCCCCATGGTCAAGACCTGTAGTGGAGTGGAAGCATGCCCCTGAACTTTCCCATCACAGTCGTTCTTAGCAAGGCTGGCATGACACGAAGCCCTGTCGGGCCATGCACGCCTCTCTGTTGGTTCAAATGGCATCGATAGGTGAGTTGAGCGCCGTGTTCTTTTCTCTCAACCATCTTCCTTGGTCAGAGCCGAGGCCGTGGCTGGCTCCAAAATAAACGACGCCCAGTCGCCCCCGTGTTTATTGCGGCGACTGCATGCGTTACTCTGATCCTGAAAGTCCTGTCTCGGGTACAGGTCTCTGTGGTGGGGAGGAGGTAAGATGAGCGTTCTCCGTTTGCTTGAGATTTCACGAAGCACTGCTGACCTGGCGCAGTGGAATTCGTACAGCGCGCGGAGATTTGACTAGAGTCAAAAGCAACGGTCAAATGATTGCAAGTAATACTGATGATCTTATAATTCTTTAGCTGTCAATGGCAGCAGAACTACCTAAGGTTGGCGAACCATCCCCTACAGCAAAGTGTCTTCAACTTCTGTTTTGATTGACTGCATATACCAAAGCGGACAGGCGCAGCCTAGGGGAGGCTCAAAAAGTGAGGAGGTGCGGTTGGATTTCGTCAGATCAGGCTGCTTTCACATCTTTCATATCCTATCGATCTCTTGTCCTTCTCCCTAGTTACACGACGCCTAACATACCACTACCTCCCCGCGATACTTGACCTACCGACTACATCACGGAGATATGGATCGTAGGCGATCTTGGCAAGAGGATGATGTCGAAACTTCTCACCTTCCGCGGCGACAAAAAACCTCGCATCATGATGATGCGTGGCGCTTTCTACCACACGATTGCTATACCGTTGCCTGGATTTGCGCCCTTCACATGGAAATGGCAGCTGCTCGAGCCATGCTGGACGAGGAGTACCAAGCCCCAGTCGCCTTTACGAACGACAGCAACACCTACTTGTTGGGGAGCATTCAGGGACACAACGTGATTATCGCGTGCCTGCCCAACGCGCAGTATGGGACAAACAACGCAGCGAACGTACTGACGAACTTGATTCGGACATTCCCGTCAGTCAGCCTCGGTCTAATGGTCGGGATCGGAGGCGGTGTGCCGAGCATGGCAGACGTGAGGTTGGGCGATGTTGTTGTCGGAACGAGGGTGATGCAGTTCGACTTGGGGAAGATCGTCGAAGACGGACAGATACGACGTACGGCAGTCCCCAAGACTCCTCACAAAACATTTGGTACAGCGGTATCAGCCTTACGATGCGAACATGAGCTGCGGCCCAGCTATATCCCAGCCATCCTTGAAGAGAAGCTGGGAAACCACCCTAGTTACTGTCGTCCAGCATTGCCCGATCAACTTTCCCCGCGACATACGAGCACGAGGCCTCTACACCTGGTTGCAGCAGGTGTGACCAGTCGAAGCTGACACTACGACGCCGACGGCTCTCGGAGGACCCATCCATACATTACGGTGACGTTGCTTCTGGAAACCAAGTCATAAAAAACGGCAATGTCCGGGATAATGTTGCCCGGCAGCTGGATGCTGTGTGTTTTGAAATGGAGGCCGCCGGTCTCATGGACATTCTCCCTTGCCTTCCAATTCGAGGGATTAGTGATTACTCAGATTCTCATAAGGATAAAGAGTGGCAGAGATACGCTGCAGCAACTGCGGCTGCGTACGCTACAGAACTGCTGGCACTACTTCCCAACGCCCATGGTCGTATACGACCTTCCCATCGGCCTCACCTTGGTTAATCCGCTAAGTGGTCAAAGTTCCCGCAATTCAGACCTGCAACCGTCCAAGAGCGAGCCGCTGATCACTACTCGTCAGACTGCCGACGGCGAAATGTGCTAGATTCCTTGAGATTTGATAACATCGATTCTCAAAAAGCCGACATCAAGGCTGCTCATGCCAAAACCTGCCAAAACCTGCCAATGGTTTTTGAGTCACCCAGACTACCTGGCCTGGCTCGACCCGAGTCGGATGAAGGAATACCGTGGTTTCCTATGGATCCGAGGCAAACCAGGAGCCGGCAAATCGACAATCATGAAGTTTATCTACTTACAAACAAAAAAGACCCGCAAGAGACCGGGTGTCATTGCTTCCTTCTTCTTTCATGCGCGAGGCAAGCCACTCGAAAAGTCTGTTGCAGGAATGTTTCGTTCGCTGCTTCTCCAACTTTTAGAAGGCTACCGCGATCTCCAAACCGTGTTGGGTGACCCTGATATTGTTCCCCGTACTCAAAGAGGGTGCCCCTCGTTGAATACCCTTAAAGACATCTTCGCGGCCTCGGTTTCCCGCCTCGGCTCCCGCACATTCACTTGTTTTGTCGACGCCCTTGACGAATGCGACGAACAGCAGGTTCGAACTATGGTTCAGGATCTTGAGGAGCTGGCAGACGAGTCGAAAGAGAAGGGCCAAGTCCTCCGTATCTGCTTCTCTAGTCGACACTACCCCTATATCAACATACGACATGGCATACATCTCACCCTGGATGGCCAATCCGGTCATGTTAACGACTTGAACAACTACGTAAGGAGCCGCCTAGATATAAAGGACCCCAAGCTTGTCAATGAGCTTCAAGGCCAGATTCTAGAGAAAGCCGCCGGTGTGTTCTTGTGGGTAATTCTCGTCGTCGAAATTTCCAACAAGGAGAACGGAAGGGGCCGCCTGGCTCTTAAGAAGAGACTTGAAGCCATCCCAGACGAACTGAGCGAGCTTTTCAAGAATATCCTGAGGCGAGATAATCAGAACATGGAACAGTTGCTTCTGTGTGTCCTATGGATCCTATTGGCGAAGCGGCCATTGCGACCCAAGGAGTTTTATCATGCCCTGTGGTCTGGACTATCTCCACAGGGTCTGGTCGATGACGAAGTACCTGACGTAACCAGCCAAGACTCTGGCGATACTTTCACTAGCTGTGTCGTCAGCTATTCTAAAGGGCTCGCTGAGATCACAAAGTCGAACCAGCCAGTTGTACAGTTCATCCATAAATCAGTCCGAGACTTCCTCGTCAAAGATAAGGGTCTCCAGGAAATATGGCCCGACGTTGGATATGACTGGGAGTGCTAGGGCCACGATAGACTCAAACAGTGCTGCTACGTCTACATGAATTACCACGTGGCACTCGGAAGTCTCTCCATACACTCGCCAACAGCCCATGAGGAACATCACGCCAAGGATGCGAATAACTTTCCGTTCTTGGAGTATGCCATTCATCATGTCCTTTTGCACTCGGATGCTGCCGAGCTGGCCGTCTCTCAGGAAAATTTCCTCTTGGACTTCCCTCTTTCTATATGGATTCTCATTTACAATCAGTTCGAAGGGTATCAGGTCCGGTGATACAGTTCTCAGGCAAAACTACCCTATGTTCTTGCAGATATGGGGCTCGCGAGGCTTATCCACACAAGACCTGCAGACGAAATGCATGCCTGCTACCCTGAAGAGAGGTACAGATACACTTTGCTTGCGGCTTTGGCCAATGGTCACAAAGACGCCTTTGCCGCTATACTGGGCCTGACTTCGCGCATCTACAACGGAGGCGACATCACAGAGGGTCTAGACCATCGAAGAAGTGATCCGGCGCTCAAGGAACTTAACCCCTTAACCTGGGCTATTCAGGATGGCCGAGAAGACATAGCCAGACTGCTCGTAGAGAAAGGGGCAGACGTCAATAAGAAGGATTGCAAGGGGGAAACACCAATCTATCGGGCAAGTCTGGCAGGTCATAAAGAAATTGCAAAGTTGCTTCTCGAAAGAGGAGCAGATGCTAATTCTGGAGGTGCCCTTGGTTTTGCCTCAAGATGTGGTTATAAAGAAGTTGTAGAGATGCTTCTTAAAAGGGGAGCAAGTCCAGACGTAAGTTATGCAATCAGTCATGCCACAAGGGAAGGTCACGAAGGAATAGCAAGGTCACTACTTGGAGGGGGGGCAGATGTCAAGGTTCGAGACATTGGGGACAAAACGGAACTATTTTATGCTCGCCAGAACGGCCACGCAAAATTTGTACAGCTCCTTCTTGATCATGGAGCTGAAGAAGACTGATACGCTTCTCAACAGCTTTGGACTATCTCGGGGGTTATGCAGCAAATGCTTGGTATCTTATCATCACCACGAACGGCAGATAGACTTATAAACACCATTCGCGTCCCGCAGAAAACCGTACGTGGCAACCCATCGCAAGGATGTCGCATATCACTATATACCCATGGGCTGATGCCAGACGTGAGTGACTCGTTATGTGTGTTGACCCCAAGCCCAAGGCGAACTCTTAAGAACGCCGTGGGGATGTCGGGGTCGACGAGGCAACGATTGCCACCTAGGCGAAGCAAGCAGCTCCTGTTGCCGTTACTCCAGTGGAGCTTGACGGGGTTGAAATTGATGCGGGCGTGAAGAGTTACGAGTAGAAGCAATGCGCTGCGGCCTCGTCGGTGAGCATATGCTTGCCCGCTGCGGATTGTGAATCAAATCGCAGGGCTTTAGAGGTTCCGAGGCATGGTCAACACAGTTTGGGTGCGCTGTGAAGTGATATCGCCTTATAGACATAAACCAGAGGAACCCGGTTCTTTGGAGACATGCTCTGGCTTGCTCTTAGCTTCTGTACACTACGATGTGGTACCGTATGCCGTGCGTTCAGCCAAGGGCAAACCCGGCCGACGACCCAAGTTTGTCTCCGAGAGAAGAAACCTTCTGGCTGCGACTTACAGGTATAAAGAACACACACCCTAAGGATACTATGAGAACAGAGCTAGGAGAACCAGGGAATGGTTCGACGGCAGCTGATCGAAACCCCTGGGTTTCTGGGTTCCCTCGCTTCCGAAACTACCCAGACAGCCAGCCCCCTAATTTCGCAACGATTCAGATGCTGATTTTCGAGACAGTGTACGCCTCGCTGACTAGAATCCACCTGTCGCAGGAGAAAATTACAGTCAGCCGAACTGGAATGTCAGGGGTATCCCGCTTCAGTCCTGCTCCGTTTCTATCCCCGTATAGACCGAACAAGCTTTATCCCTTCAACTCCAATAGACCTCCTTCGCCCACCATCTACCACCCCCACCCTGTATACTCTGCGTAGCCTCGTGGCAGCCTTCTATAAAGAGACGTCCATCGCCAGTTGCCCGTTCCCATCTAACGTCAAGTACTGGTCCAACAAGCCCTGCAAACGCGTTAGCTCTGCCTCTCGCAATACACTCCCTCCAACCAAGACGCCGTCAGACTCACCCAGTCCAGGTTGTAAGGGTCGTTCAACGCGTTATCAAGCGTCATGAAGTCGAAATCGAACGCCTGATCCATCCCGACCCCCTGCGGCTGGCCGTTCCCGCCGCCACCGACATCCCCAAACCCGCTGTCCGTAGTCGGGGCCTCGAAAAACGAAGACGCCGGGATCTCGTTGCCGTCGCCGCATACGTCCACTCCCGAGGCGGCCACGGTCGTCAGGCCTTCGCCCTGCCGCTGCGAGATGCGCCGCCTCCGGCTCGTCAGCCGCTGTACCATTGCCCTCAGAACCGTCGACGCGTGCCTGGCGTCCCTGGAGCAGCTCGCCCGGTTCGACCAGATCTCGCTCGCCGTCTTGAGAGCGTTCATCTTCCTTTCGTAGTCCTCGTCGCTAGGTATCGTTAGCCAATGAGCCACGTCCAAATGTTCTCTAACCCCCACCCTCCTCTCTTTACCCCCTGAAGGAGACTCAAATGACGAGACAAACCTCATATCCGTATTCTCATTCAGGTCCAAGCAAACCACCATGGCAGCAATCATGAAATTGTGCAACATGAGACTACTCAGCATGTACCGGTCCTCAAACAGCCTCCCGCCGGGGCTCGACTCCCTGTCGAACTCGGCATGCAGATTGAGGATCGTCAGCGCGGCGGCTCGACAAATCTCCCTCGAGAGCGCGAACCGCGGGTCCGCCTTGTCCCGGCTGAGGTACGTCCGGTGCAGCACGCACAGCGCCTTGCGGTACGTGAGCTCCAGCATCAGCCGCTGCATGACAGTATAGTTCTGCTCCGTGAACCCGGTCGCGCGGATCGGCCGCACGCGCATTGCCGCCGGCAGCTCGGCGTACCAGGCGTGCAGGGCGTCGTTGAGCACGCACGTCTCGGCGTAGACCGGCTGCGTCGGGCTCAGCGCGTGACGGATCACCTTCCGCAGGATCCGACATAGCTTAGACTTCAAACAGTAGTACAGAATCGGCGTTGGCTCCGTCGGAGGCCGCGGCGGGGGCATCGTCACCGTGTCCTCGTCAAAGTCCTCGTCGGGGTGGTTCTCCGGCCCACGGGTGTCGCTGTCGCTCTCGTGGACGATGGCGGGCATGCCAAGCTGGAAGGACAGCAAGAGGTCAAAGGATTCGCAGTAAAACCACGCGCGGCGGCGCATCTCGGCTTCAAAGGGGGAGATGGGCGTCGACAGGTGCTTCGGGTCGAGGTGGTAGCCCCTGCGCTGCGCGAGCCTCGTCGCGACGCCGAACAAGTTGGACAAGATCGGGTCCATGTCCTTGCTCCCTATCACCCGTGTGTAGGCGACCAGGATGGTCGCTTCGACAGAGTACTTCTTGGCGACCAGGTAATTCCCCTTGACGAGGCACTGCACCGCGCGGCCGGCGTAGGCCGACGGTTCCTTGAGGTCCCGGGTCAGGCCTAGTGTCTCCACAGTCCCCTTGCCACGGACGATTATCACCGCAATGGAGATGATTGAGAATATAATACTTATCCAGAGAAAGCCTGCAGCCTCGGGCTTCTCCCAGAATGCCTCGTACTCCCGCTGGAAGCGACCGACGTGGATGAAGGGAACGGCAGTGGACCGGGCGTTGAAGTAGACGGCTAGTAACTTGTCGAGGTCCTGACGCGGGGGTAGGCTGTACAGCACCTCCGGCATCGAGACGGTGACGACGGCACCAAAAAGAACGTCCGGGCTCATCGAGCATGCGCCGCCCTCGGGTGGCTCCGGAAGAGCGGTCGGGTCCGGCTCGAGGGCCGTCTGGATCTCCCGAATATGGTGGAGCAAGGCGGTCCAGTGGGTGGCGCCGTAGTAGTCATATCCACCTTCTGGCGGGGTCAGAACCGGCGAGTTGCCGCGGTTCCCCGGCTCCGAATCCGTCGGCGTCGGCACTGTGGTGGGCTTGGTCGGGGCCGGTCCTATCCGATCCCGTGCTTGAGATGCGGATGCACTGTTCCGCACGAGATCTCGGACCATATCCTCAAGCTTCTGGAGCCGGAGTTGCACTTCCGGCCGCCGCAGCAGCAGCTGCTGCTGCTGTTGCCGGCTCGCCCCCCCTCCTCGATTCCCACTTTCCCCAGGTCGGTAGCCTGGAGTCGAGGGAGCTACAGCAACTCCATTCTCACGGTCAACAGCGCCCATGCCAGCGTGGCCGCCGGCACCATTGCGGTTTCCACCGTTCAATGGCACGGCGGTCCCGAACTGACAAGCATCCCCGTCTCCGCGCTTAGCGCACGCACCGCAGGGCAAGGCACGGTCGCATCGTAGCTTGCGCGTGCGGCAGGCAAGGCACGAAACTGGTTGGCGGTTCCGCTTGGCCACCCTGCGCTGCTGATCGGACAGAGACTGGGCGCGGAAGACGGATGTGAAATGAGTAATGTCCGAAGACGATGACATTAGGTTCTGTACTTAGAGGTGGGGTTGCGTCGTCGAAGGTGTCAGTGCGGAGGAGTGAGGAGTAGGCTCGGTATGCCAAGGACCGGGTGGGTATTCTCGGCCGAGATCGCCGGTATTGGTGGGGTGGGAGAGAGAGAAAGCAAGACGCAGTGAGGACGTGAGGACGACTGGCTAGGGAGATGCTTGACTCCGCGGCTGTTTAGTTTCTGTGAAGATTGTGCATATGGAGTTCTGAAGAAGCCGAGGCTTGCAACGATGGCTATAGGCAACAGGTAAACGGAACGGTGCTGAGATACGACTAGCTCCGGGCAGTTCGGTGCGTAGAGCTCTCTCTCGATCGGGGATACCCCCGGACTTAACACACACCTTTTCCCGTTCCAGAAAGAAGAACCAACCTCCCCCACGTACCATCCAACGTCGTCTCATTGATCCCTTAGGGTTTTCCGTCACTGCTGCCAAACAACTCATTCTTCCGAGTACCTACCTACGCGGAAAGCAAATTGGAGGGAGCCCTGACTCGATTTTTGTGTTCCTTATGGACGTGTCGCCGTTTTGTTCATCATACCCAAAACCACTCATTTACTTTGACACACTGGCTAGTGGTAGTACTGATAGCTGTCGCCCTCCAGTCTGCCTCACCGTAGGGCATCTCTCCCGCTGCATCCGTGCGCTATGTTTCAGGCAGTGGTGACGGAAGAAAGTGCTCGAAATGCCTAGCCAGCGACAAGGAGGCACTATGGTGAAGAGGCAGATACGAACCTGCATATCCAAGACTATAACTCCAAGCAAGCAATTCGGGTGCGGGCGGCTGGGATGCTGGAGAACGTCTCGTGATTCCCAGACGAAAAAATAAAATAAAAATTGATATGCGAGTCCGAAGGGCTTTGGAATCGACAAATACTAGAAAGAAGACGAGAGAGAGAAAGAGAGGGAGAGAGATGGAGGGAGGTGCAAACGGCCCTGTTTCTGTTCCTATGCCATCTATTGATTATACCTATCCATGAAGGAAGGAGGCCCGCGCCATTCAACCCGACTCAGGGAAAGGGGCTTGGTTTCGCGAAGCCCGTGCGGAAGGCGAGAGTCTGCGAAGTGCAGGAGCAGACTGCACTCAAAACTCAATGGTGTTTCTCTCTCTGTTTCTTCGCTGCTGTGTTTCTCTAACCCGCACACCCCCCAGTCTCCAACAACCCGATCGTCTAATGAATGCGCCCATCGCGTCTGTTCCAAAATCCAATCTCGTTACCCATTTGAATACTTTATACAGCCCCCCCTCCCCCAGAATACCTGACGTACTATGAACATATGAACTCGCTGCCCGCAGATTCGAGGCATGATCGTAGGAAACATCACACGGGCCGTATGCATACACCCCTCTCCCTCTTCATCGACACCTCATCCTGAGGACAAGTAGCCGCCTACTCTCGTCTCCCCTTTCATTCCTTCTTCCCCTGTTTCTGGCTCGCTATGGCAATCAAGATCATTCTTTCAGCACCCTTATCAATTAATCTACCCTTCCCTCCCTTCCAAATACTGCCAACTGTCTCAAGACTTACATCCGTGCATTTCCATCCGCACGGCCCCCCAAGCACAAGCAAGCACTGAAGAGAGAAGGCCTGGCTGCTAGAGGCGCCTCGGGACCCTTGCATACCATGCGCCTCGCATGTAGCCCGTCGCCTGCCATGACAGAACACCGGGGATCAAGTGACGTTGAAGCCCGCTCCACACAAGGCCTCGCCCACGTTCCTCTGTTCATCGCACGGTCACAAGCGAGCCCCTAGACGCTTTCCCGTGACTCTTGCATAGCGTGTCCTCTCCCGTCTTCCGCTGCCGATGAACCCGAGTCAGAGCGTCACAGCGGATCTGCCTCGACGGTTCCAGAGTACGTCGATTAGGCGAACAGAAGCGCAGCCGAAGGGACATCCGGCTACCCGTCTCAAGCAGCGAGCCGTTGACCCTTGGGATTTCTGATCGCACGCCCTCATTCGGCCCCCTTCGTGCCCTCACTTTGACCCTGGAAGGCGTCGGCACGCGGTTTGCAAAAAAAAAACCAAAAAAAAAAAAAAAAAAACCCCGCACACCTTACCACTCTACTCTACCAAAGCCCTACGTTACCTACTACCTTACCTATAAGCTAACTCAACACTACAGGAGCATTTTTCTTATAGAATATTGTTTGGAGTACTACTTACGTCTTCTTGATTTTACTATTATTTTATTCTATTTTTAGCGCTTGAGTTGCGCTGTTGAGGCCTTTCTAAAGCTAGGGCGTTATTAAGTGTGCGGGTTTTCATGCAAACCGCGTGCTATGTGGTGGCACGCCACCTTTTGCTGGCCAACAATACACCCAGTTCGCAGAATACCTAGTTGTTCCAAACAAGGAGAAGAGAAAAATGACAGAAAGATTGCGACATAAAACACCCGATGGCCAAAGCCAAGTCCACTGCCATACAGGCCCAGCCAGAACCCAAACAAGGCGCTTCTGCCGCAAACCTACTTTCTCCGTGGACGGGCCCGTCACTTCGCTCCCACCGGCTGGCCGCGGACGACCGGTATGACAGGCCCCGCCGCCGCCGCCGTCCAGGTGTTCCCGGCAAGGATGCCTACGAAATGATTCAGACTGTTCATCTTATTAGGCTATACCGACTTCAATCCTCGTGTACTGGCTGGCGCTTGACCCTCCCCCTCTGGTCTGTATTCGTCTGCCTCTTCCTTCGGACAATAAGTGATTTGTATTCCCTGCTATTCGCACTCACAGCAGCAACGACGTATACATGGATAGTATCACAGCGGGATGGCACGCACTGTGGGGGGATTGATTCGTATCATGCCGTCATACAGCTTCATTTCGTCGCATCGATAAATAACAATAAAAAGCTTGCCGGTCCTCTGCTCCTCCGCCCCGAGAAATAATATGTAACCCGACCAGGTCTCCCCCCCCCCCTCCTTTCGCCCAGGCCGCGATCGTCGGGGGGAGGGAAGGGGCACACAACGGGGGTAAATAAACGATACCATACCAAGGAGACCGGTAACCTTTCCCCTTTTTGTTTATGCCCTTCGCGCGCTCTCTCACTCTCACACCCTCTCCTCCATCCCCGTTCATGCAGCAACCAGCCTACACACTGGCGAGCACCCAAGATTGGAATCCCGTCCATCCGCTCTCGCCCCCCGCCTAGCTACCAGAGCTAACACACTCAACATCTTTCCGCGCGGCTCTCTTCCCTCATTCTGACTTGGGTTTGGCCCCCTAGGAAGCCGGGATGAATTGACGGGCCGTTGTATTAAAAGAGAGAGACAAAAAAAAAAGAAAAAAAAACAACAACCACTAGGCTCTTTTTAGTGGCTCTTCCTTGCACCATCCCATGCGCTTGGCTCAAAAAGTAAAAACAAAATATTTAGGCTCAGAAATAAGTAGTTAAGAAACAGAGACGTTTAAAAAATAATCAAGAAATCAGTATGCTTTTGTACACGGACCACGATTGTACCATGAGCTGGGTATCACGGGCAATAAGAGACGCAGGTAGGCAGACGGAATCAAGCGATGCTACGACGAGATGCCGCGTATGATCCGGGCGGCATTACCAACGGCGATGGTGAAAGGAGGAACATCCTACACAGCAAGTTAGACTACAGATCCATAAAGCCAGAGCGCGGGCAACAACTTACCTTTGTGACGACCGAGCCGGCCCCGACGGTGCTTCCCCGTCCAATAGTGACGCCTGGTAGGATTATGACTCCTCCGCCGATGAAACAGTCCTCCCCGATGGTGATGGGTTTGCCGAGCTGTGGGCCCTTGCTGCCCAGACGCCGCTTGGGGTCGGTGGGCAGCGTCGCCGTGTATATGCTCACGTTCGGCCCGATGTGGCAGTTGTCGCCAATCTTGACTTCGCATGTGTCGATGATGGTACAGCTCCGGCCGATGACGACGTTTTGCCCGATGGAAATGTTGTAGCCGTAGTCGCAAGTGAAGGGTGCCTCCACGACCACGTGCTCGCCCACTCTTCCAACGTTTGCCACGGGCGAGGTGACTGTCGGCGAAATCTGGATCAGGTCCCGGGGCTGCAGAATCTCGCGGAACAGGCGCGCTCGCTCTGTCGGCGAGACGCCGTTGTTGGGGTTCGTCGAATTGTTGAATCGCCAGCAAGCCGCGCTGCAGCGCTCGCGTTCCAAGACAAGCTCCTTGTCAAATGGGTAGTAGAGTTTCCCGGCGAGCATGTCCTCCTTCTGCGTCCTGGCCCTGCTGGGGGGGAATTGGGTGTGCGATAGTGCCAGCTGCGCGGCGACTTGCACATTGCTGGTGGCCGGCGGCGGCTGCTGCTGCTGCTGCTGCTGGATGGGGCTGTTGGACCTCGTCGGGTGAAGAATGTTGATCTGAGGCAGCGTGTTGCCGGGGTGAGGTGTCTCGGGCTCCGGCGCGGTCCTGCTAATGTCGTGCAACGGCGGGACGCGCTGGTACTCCTTCCTCTCCGAGAAGGGGGCATGCGGTGGCCCTTGAGCGCTGACAGGCGTGGGGAAGGCGTTTGCCGGGGTGTAGGGGATGGCAGAAAGCTTATTCTCGGGACTTGTCACCGATGCGCTGGGGATCGTCGAAGCAGTCGGCCGGTCATCGTCAGTCAGCAGCGGTCGCCCTTGAGGCGGATCAATCCGCAAAGGCTGTCCACGGTAATGGGGCAGCGCCTCCCGCCTCTGTCCCACGGCAGGCTGGCTGCCATACGGAGCTTGCTGCTGCGGCATACCATATGCGCCGGGTGGGACATAGCTGGGGTCTTTGGACTCCAAGGGAATGGCCGCAGCCTTGCTGTCTGGCTTCTGCCAGGCCGTGCTGCGCTGTGGGGGATATCCTGCGCAGATGAATCCTCCACGGAGGCAATTGCTGCCTAGGGGAGGGTCAGTTCCACACCATGATCAATCAAGGGGAGGGGATCATACACTCGGGCTTCTGCTCATCACACTTCTTCTTCCTCCTTCGACACGTGAGACATCCCGTCTTGGTTCGGTTGCTGAAGTTGCGTTTTCTCTTCTTGTTGTCGGATTGAAGTGTCGGGTCACGGGATCCGCCAGGTGTGTAGGAGCCATATGCCATGGATCTATCATCGCCATCAGGGCTGGTGTTGTCGTAGTCGTGCGCATCCACCTGGTTGGCACGTCTTAGTGCCTCTCCAATCTGTTCCTCAGACTGGCCCTGCGTAGATGTGGCAGACGGCTGGTCGTAGTAACCCCTCTCATCCCTATCCCTGGCATCGCGTGAGTACCACGAATCGCCGTGCTCCCGCGAGTCTTCGCGTTCGGCGTAGGAGCGGTGTTCGCGCTCGCGCGAGGGGGTGTCATAAGGGTCACGTGATTCCGGAGGGTGAGAGTGAGAGGCGGCGTCGGGGGAATTTTCCTTGGGCGCGGGGGCTTCCCGCCTTGCTTCTACCGAGCTGGACCGCTTTCTCTTGAGAGAGCCGTCGATATCGGGGTAGTTGGCAGATTGATATGGTGACCTTTCCTGGCTCGGGCCGGCCCAGCTATCCCTCTGGCTCGTGGAAGGGTCCGCAGCGGTTGTGGTCGGCTTTGGCTCAGACGGGGTGTGCTGTCCGTTGGGGCGCTCAACCGACGGTGCTCTGTTGGCATCGGTGGGCGGCAGATTAGGTGGTTCGGAGGTTTTTGGTGAGCCCCCATTGAGGGCAGTGAAAGCCGACATGATTCAACAAGGCGCCCCGCCAATGCAGGCACGTGAGGATATGAGCCAATATGTCGCTATGAAGCTGCGATCAGGAGAGGAAGCGTTGTTAAGTGAGAACTGTGGTGGATGGCGGTGGAGTTGCTGCGCGGTAGGCAACTGGCGGTAAAGAAAGTTGACAGATAACCGTCGGGAGGTGGGCGAAGAACCGACGGGGAGGTTTGGCGGGAGATGGGAAAAAGCCGCGAGATGATGTTGGCGAAAAGGGTGCGCAGCAGAGCGCGCGCGCGCGTCAAGCAGTGCCAATGTTGGCGATTCGGGCCGAGCAATGTCCTTCGTGAATGAGGCACAGGCCGTGGAAGACTGGAGGAAACCAGGTAGCGGCTAGCAGGTGGGCTCTAGAGTAGTGCCGGGCTGGATTTTGAGGCGGACGAACGGCTTTTTGAGACAGGGAGGCGCCTCGCTGTCTTCCGGATCCAGAGTCTTTTGCTGAGAAGGGGGGTGGTTCTCTGAGAATTGGCGCGGATGAGATGAGTAAGGAATGGGCACCTCTTCTTCTTGTCAAGTCGTCCCTCTTTGTGTCGTAGGGGTGGGTGGGTAAGCTTTTCTTCCTTTCCTCGTGCTTCCCTGGGCCTAATCCCTTCTAAGAGATCTGCACGCGAAGACGAAGAGTGGGAAGTAAAGATGACGGAGAGGAAAGAAGAAAAAAAGGATAAAGGAGCTATCAAGCGCAGATGATGACACTCTCTGCTGCAAGCTGCAGGTTGCTGTTACTACTGTCGCTGGTGCTGGTGTGCGGAGGTTGCGTGAGCTTGAGCTTTGGACTTTTTTTTTTTTTTCCCTTTCCTTTCCTCTCGGTAGGCCGGGGGGGAGGGGGGGGTGGAAGAAATAATTTGACGGCTGTGCGCGGGTGCGTCAGTAGAGAGGTAGGTACGTGCGACAAGGCAAGGACAAGAGGGTGAGAGCGGTGTCTTATCCGCCGGCTCGGCTGGGGGTGGGGACAAGGGTAGAGATTGGTGAATGAGCGATCGAGTGTGTGAGAGAAACAGAGATGCCCGCTGAGACTGAAGGCTGTGTGCAGCCCTTGGTGTATGGATGGGTGTGTGTGAGAGACAGAGAGAGATTGGATGGTACCAGGCGGTCCAGCGTCCCCGGCCTGGACGGGATGTTCGAGGCCGCTGGGAGGCTAGGTAGGATTGCCTTTATGCCCGTCTTTCCGCTTCCTGGTGTGTAAATGGGGAACCAAAGAGAGAGCCAGATGGCAGGTGGTCACTTACTCTTCTTCTCGTCAAATATCCCTACCAGGCTAGGCTGAAGTATGCTGCCTTGCCAGAAGACGATGCTGCTGCAACGGTTCGATCCGACAAACGAATACGCATGTACAGCGCTTCGAGTCTGGGGAGGTGCACCAGATGGATTCGAGCTTAATTTGCGCACGCGGCGATCGTCTGCCTCTTGGCCTTGTCAGTCGGTGGTGGAGGCAATGGTTGCGGACGTCCAGCTGGGTCGATGCCGACGTCGAATTTGAGATACAACCGCTGGAGCAGCGAGCTTTCGCGGATTGCTTTTTTGCTTGCTTGCTTGCTTGCAATGCGGTCCCTGTTGGAGTTGGGTGGGCGACTTTTTTGCTGGTGAATGCTGTGCCAAATGTGGTGTTGAGACGGAAGCGGGTAAGATGGTGATTATTCCGGCCTGTGACTTTGATGTGTATCGTCGGAGAGGATGCGACGTATCAAAGTAATCCAACCCGGAAATTGTACCGGTCCTCTTTGTCCTTCGTCGCCTTCGCGGCTGTCTTGCGCTCTCTTTCGCTTTCGTTTTTCCTCCTATTCTTTCTGTCTCCCCCTCCTTTTTTTTTTCTCTTTCCCCCACGCCCTTCCTCGAACAAGAAAAACAAAAAAAACAAACAAGAATAACCAAACCCTGCCTTTTCTTGTCGTTAACCCGAGTCCCGCGGTGTTCGAGGGTTTGTCTTTCTTTTTCCCGTCTACGGGGTTTGTCCTGGTCGAGGGATGATGGCTGCTCTTCGTCCGGCGGCGCTTGAGCGGGGTTTTTTTTTTTTTTTCGTTTGACGCGCGATTATGCTGCGGCTGCCGGGGGCGAGACTAAGAGCAAGGAGATGATTTTTCCCACGTCGCAAAGCCGGGTTGGGTGGTTTTTGGTTACACCCCGACCCGTTGGCACCTTTTTCTCTCCTTCTTGTCTTTTGGCTCCCTTCCTTTCGTCTTCTCGGTGGCAGCCAACAGTGCGGGCTGAAGCGTCGACTAGATACAGCCGATTCCTCTTCCTCTTGTGATGCAATTCGAATGTTTAGGCTAGACGTGCAAAGGACTTGCCTGATGAATTAGGTAGGCTGTGAGAAGACGGGATGCCCAGGTGAAGGATAGTTTTGGCGGTGTCGGATGTTGGCGGGTGGGATGGGCGAAAGGGTCAGATGACAAGAAACTGTAAGTGCGATGAGCGGGGGGGAAGGGGGGGGTGCAGGAGGAGGGAGGAATATGTGATTATCATGTGGTAACGAACCTCAGGTGAGAGTAGGTGCGGCAAGTCGGGGTTGAGTGTTGCTCTCGAGGTACAAACCACTAATTACTCTGTACTCTCCCTCTCTGGTTGTAAGGGCGTCTGGCACCCGCACCCGCACCCGCACCCGCATCCGCATCCGCCGTTGTCGTCAACGACGTCGGCAACGTCAAAAAGTCTGTAGGCGAGCCAGGGGCAACCCCTGGTACGCGAACCAGCCGTGCCTTTTTTGTCTTGCTTTCCAAGTGCCCGCTACTCCTCTTGCTAGGCGCTTGCTCGTTTGGTTTTGCCGGGTTGGTTCCAGAATCCTGACCAAAAGAGGGTCGATAAGGTACGGAGTACATACATGTTCGTACTATGTACTATTCGTAGGTAGTTTACATGTGCAGCCGAACGAGAAGGGCCTCCCGGGGTTGACGAGACGAGGGTCTCGGCGGGTGCTGCTCATGACAAGGTCTTTCTTTACACGGAGTGTAGGAAGTATCCGTAGTACACTACACTATCCTGTGTGGATTCCGTCCAGACCCTTCCTTCCCTATCGTTTTCGTCTGCCGCTCCCTGGTCGCCTCTTCTTCCCGCCGACTACTCCCACTCCGTTTCTTACCTTCACACTACTCCTCCCTCCCCCCCTCTCTATCTTTCTGTGAGTGTATCTATGTGTTCAAGTTCAAACTCGGAAAGGATGATGAGAGAGAGAGAGAAAAAAAGAAGAAGAAGAAAAGAAAGAAAAAGAGAGCGCCAGCCACTCGTATCGGTTCTTCGCTCTTCCTTCACTGTGCCATGTAGGTAGGTATGTATGTATGCACTTCGTGGCACCCTCATCAATACATACCATCCCTCCCCCCGTCCTCCATCGCTAAACACGGCAATTGCTCGAACAATATTGGGGCGGCATGGCGCTTCCCACGAGTACTCTCGACCGCCATCAGGTACTTGCGCGATACGGTTACCCACCAGTGAACCCATTTGCGTTTGTTGCCGCTTCGACGGCCACCTGGGGGTCCCCCTGGTGAAGCATGAACAAGGGTGAGGGGATGGCACGCAGAAAGGAGGGGGGCGTGTCGGCAGGCCATTGGCGACCATGAAGGGGGGGTGAGCCACGAGCTCTGCAGCTCGCATCTGGTCGCTCCAGCTGTACGTACCTATCTACCTGAGTAGGTACCTGTCTAGGTAGGTACCTGTCTGAAGAAGTACAACGCGACTGGACTAAACTGAGCTGGGCGGCAGGTACGTACTGGATACGTAGTGGGAGGTACATGCCTAGTAGGCTTGCCTGGTCCGGCTGAGTCTCAGCTGGGATGTGCCGACATCGTTGTTCTCGTCCTTTTGCCCACGTCTGTCCATCTCTCTCTCTCTCCTCTTGACCCCCCGCCCTGGGCCAGAAACGAATATTCCGCGTATTTCGTCGTCGCAGTTCGCTTATCGTTGTCGTTGTTGTCGTCGTTGTTGGCCACCAGGTTGCCCTATCACTCGGGCCTCTTCTGTCCAAGTGCCTGCCTGACTTCAGCCCAGATGCGATTGGCATATTCTTACTCCACGGACCTCGCCGCCGGCCATGCCTCTCCCTCTTCCCACCACGTCACGATGCGATGCGATGCGATGCTATGCTGGATCAGTCTGCGCACGGATGTGTCTTGTGTAAACATCCACGCACGTATATACCGTAGAATATCGCCAATACGGCCTCTGCTAAACAACAGCCACGTGTGAGGGATGGGCACCTGCTTCAGCAGCATCGGCAAGGGATATGTCATCCTTGGTAAGGTAGAGGTGTACCCAAGTACTCCGTGCTGTACGGATACACTAATAGTGTGCATGTAGACGCACGGCAAGGGGGGGTTGGGGTTTGGCCCCCGCTTGCCGCGGCCGTGAGCCGTCGTCATTTCCAGTTCTCCAGAATTGGGGGCAGTAAACAAGCGACCTTCCGCGACAAGAGCCGCCGGCTTTCGCCAAAGAAGCGAACATTTACTTTACTTGGCACCACGGCCATAAAAGAAACCCCCGTTGATTGATGTCGCCCGGCCGTACTCGTGCGCCGCTGGTTTCTCTCAACAAAAGGGTATGCGCGTTGCCCCCGGTTAAACCTAACCCCCCTCTTGATTACTGTGCAACTGACGGGCCGTCGTCGTCTTACTAAGACATCCCAGACCCCCTTCGCGGTTCACCAAGAAGGCCCCTCGCGCATCCGGAAACGCTGCCCGCCTCCAGCGTTACACTCGTTTCCACTCGTCGCTCCCACGAAGCTCGGCCCTCGCTGCGACCCTTTAGACCGCTGTTTACGCTGGCTGTGGGGGGTCGATTCCACTGTGCATTGTGTGCCATCCCGCAGAGAAATCGATTCAGGCTTGATTCCCGTTTTAGTCGGTCAGCAGGAACTGCGTGTTTTTTTGTGTACATATATGTCCGCAAGATGGAAGACATAATACTGACTCCATGGATGAAAAAACGTCTGCCTAGCCTAGATCGAGACGTCCCGGTCGCCGCGGTAAGAGACAGAAAGCCCAGGATGGCCTAACCCGGTGCCGAAGCAGCCCCTGTCGAACCTTTGGCCCCTTCATTCGCCTGCAGAATCATAAATAGCAGTTTAACCACGCGGTAGTCCTTGTCAAAGGAGGGGGGGGTCCCGTCTCCGGCTTGATGACCACCACTGGAACCGATCCGGGACGGAGCAGCGGTGCAGGTTGTGTTTCGAAATGTCGGGATTGGCTACGGCCTACAGCTGTCCGCGACGTGAATACTGTCAGGCCACAAGCGCTCAGTGCCATCGTCGAGGTGCCACTGGCAAAAGGTGACGCGAGCAGGGAGCACCCTCTCTTACGAACAGATTTCAATGACCTGGTCCATGACCAGCTGGCCGGCCGGCCGGCTTGTGCGTAGCGCAGGCGCATGTGCTTGATGATAGCACTCAGTGTATGCCACCATGCACCAATGGGAAACTCGGGACAGGGTCTCTGGGCCATGCAACTTGCCGCGATCGGCGAATGCTCCCCCCAAGAGAATCCGGCATCCGCCTTCGCCGCGTCTAACAGCACACTCTCTGCACCGCAGCGGAACCAATACGACGCCAACGTCGGGTTTCGTCGTCAAGACGCAAGCTTAGCCTACCGCTTAGCTGGTCGAAGCTCGTATTGCCGCCCCATTTGCTATGTTTGTTCGACAGCCGCCAACGTCACTAGCAAACGCGGCAGTGCACTCAGCCCATCAGGCCTTGCTTCGGTGTGAGATTAGTGTGAGCGATAGTCCCATTCCGGGCCTACGTTGAGCCATGTCTCGGCCCTTGGCTCCGTTCTTCAACGCAATAGCCAATCTATGGCCAGGGCCGGCACACGGCATGAGATTTTTTCCTTGGTCGGGTTTTCTGGGCAACATGAGCGAGGTAAGTAGGTAACATTTTCCGCGCACGGGTCCCTCTCGGGATGGAGCGTTGTGGTGCATCCGTGGTGGTCTTTGTTGCATTCGATGCCCGCTTGCGCTCAATACTTGTGTTGCAGCAGCATACGGCGGTACATCTGTCTGCCCGCGGCAGCGCGTGCGCCAGTTACTTCGGGTAATCTCATGCGAAACAGGTACACATCGGTGTACCAATCCAGGTGGCTGTCGATTGAGGGACATCGTGATGATGGCGGCCCGTGTCAGAAAGGATGCCTGTAAGCGCAGTCCCGAATGTTTCGGCGATAGCACATACATGGAGAGTGTGTCCGTATCCTCAATCCCCCCTTCCATCCTTCACTTCACCACAGAAGGCCTGCTCTCATTCCTCTGATGGGGCAGGGATGAAACAAAACTGTTAATCTTCCGATGTCGATAGGCCAGGATGCAGCCCACGGTGGGATATTTTTAGCCATTCAACCCTGGTTGCTACATGCACCCATCGTGGTGTACGTACGTACGGGTACGCTGTTGGCCTTTATTACCCCAGCTTTGCCCAGGACCGATCCGCCCGTCTCGTCTTGTCTGTTGCCGCGTTGGTGAAGTGTGAGGTGCTGGTTAGGCGGTTGCCATCGGCTCCAACGATGGTCAAATAGTTTCCCGTCCTTGTCCCAGCCCTATTCTTTTCCATGGTCTGGCGTAGCGCTTGTCGAAAGGCGGGCGGGCGTGTGCGAAGAAAGGAGAAATGACACAAGAGTCTTCTGTGCCACCAACCCGACTCTCCCACCCGCTTTAGCGTTGCCTCTGCTCGTCGCTCGGGTCTTTGCCGCCGTAACCACACACACACCTACTACTGTGATTGCAGCTAAGCGGCATTGCCACTATGATTGGTCTCGGCATGGCAAGCCGCAGCCAATGGGAAGGCCTGGGTCGACAGGAGGGATCGAAAAAGAATGGAGTGGCAATGCATTCGATTCGACACATGTCTTGTGACGAGCCTTCTGCACTCTCTCATCCCAACGGAATACATTACCCAGTCCTTGATATCACTTGAAAACTAGCAGCCAGGACTATACTGCCTCAATGGTTCCGTCTTGTAGCGATGCTGCTGCTCAAAGATGAGAGCCCTTTACCCGCGACGCGTCCGACACTCCACTCGGAGGTGTGATTTGATCCTCTTCGTACAGCCGGTGGCCCAGAGCAATGTGATGAAGGCTTGTATTGGTTGCAAAGCCATGCGGCTATCGCGATTCTGCTGCACAAGTGCTGACATCTTGTCACACACATACGCCCAGGTGCACACCTCCTTCACAGCCTGTTGCACATATTATAGATGAGGTGGTCTTCTCGATGGGCCCATGGAGGAGGTGCGCCAGAGAGGAGGCTAGAAAGCAGAGAGCTATGCGAAATCACCTTCAAACAATGGCTTTATTCGCGGCAGCCGGGTCGGGATCGTGACTACACTAGAGTCGTCCCATCCTTGCGTTTGGCCTCGGGCGCCTTGCTAGCAAAACACACACGCCGAAATCATGCCGGCCTGAGCCTTGGCACATGGCAACGTCATATATCGCATCATATTCAGGCGGCAGTATAGACCGGAAGTTGAGGCCTTGGCTGCAGGGGAGCTCGTGAGTACTCGCCACGGCCGTTTCGGTAATGAAGAGAACGGAGATTGCGGATTTGTCGTCTCGTGGGACCTGTCGGGGCAAGAGGGCAAATGAGCGTGCCATGCCGAGCGTTATCCTGAATTCGCCGTATAGGGTTTTCTCTCCGGGGCCCTGTATGGTTGACCGTTGTTCAATCGTATCGCAATGAAAAGGATCAGACAAATGCGGAATGACACCCGCGATGTGGAGCTCATGGTGATGAGTGACAGGCTATTAGTATAGCAACCGGAGCGGAATCTGGGGTCTCCCACCGGACACCATTCCGTCGATGCAGACTACTAAAGTGACATGGCCTACAATGCCGAGCGTCGTTGCGAGGAACGGCCGAAGAAGGCACGCCTTCGTCTCCAACATGGTGGCATGGGTACCTGTGGCGGGCCGGGGGAGGGTGGAAGAGACGGATAGAAATGACCTACAAGTAGTTTAGAGCAACCTTCGGGGGCCGAGGTTGCAGGGGCGGCGGTGGTGCGGAAGGACGAGGCCAAGAAGGGAGAAAGCAAACAAAGCGGGGGCATCGGTGTTCGAGAAAAAGGGGAGCAGAAAACGACGGTTGAAACCCCTTGTCCGTTATTATGTGGTCTTTTGTCGTCGCCAATGATACTTTGTAGATGGCCCAGGGATGGGGTTGCTGCGCGTGTGAGGTAGAACCTGGCATGACAGTCAGTACCTAGGTAAGCAAAGGCCAAGGCAGACAGGCATGGTAGGTGCCTCAAACCGTAATGAAGTGGGCGTCAAAGTACCTATTGTTGCGGAGGCAAAGTGAGGTAGGATACCACCATCAGATGCGCGGTTGGTGGATGTGACCACGAGCTTGCCCATGGTGGGTGCATCGAGTAAGATTTGACAACGATGTGAGGGCGAGGGTGAGGGGACTGAATGAATGTACGGGCCGAGACTCGAGGCCATCTGGAAGGCAGCCAAGGCTGGAAGAAAGAAGACAAGGCCGAAGGGTGGGAGCCGGTTGATTCTTGCATCCTGTGTAGCTGTCGTCTGCGAAAGGTGTCTCGTCTCATCTGAACTCATACACTCCTTATTCCTGGCCGACGAGGATCGATAGTGATGGACCAGGCCCAGAGCTCTGTGATTGACAGACGGCCCTATCGCGGGGGTTTTCTGAAAATATGCCGCCAAGACCCGACCCGCGCGATACCCAGCAATACAGAGTCGGCGGATGGCGGCTCAATGACGCACAACAGAGACGGAATGTGTGTCGGTTGCTAGCAGCAGTTATTTCGTAGGGCAATGGGACAATTGCCAAACGGAAATGGGCATCTGCCAAGGGGTGAAGAAGAAAGTGTAAAAACCAAATAAAACATAACAAAAAGTGTGTATGTACATGGTAGGATGGATGGTATGTACACTGCCACCCAACTATGGTACTTGCTTGCCCAGGCAGGAACGCACGCACTAGAAACCTAGACCCAACAACACCCAACACCTACCAGACCCGACAACACACACAAACACCCTCCCTGCCTGCCTCACTCCCACGTGTGCCAGGTCCACCGTTGTCAGATACTTGCGTTGCCTACATCATCATCCTCTTCATCATCAGCTAAGCCTCGGGTCCAATCCGCCCTGCTTCGCAAACCTGCCTAAGGTGAGGTTGTCTACCGACTCATGGATGGATGCGCTCGGAGCAATTGCCTCCCAGCGACTGACTGGTGCTTGTGCTTCTCTCCGACAGTAGCATAGGGATTGAAAGCCCAGGCCCAGGCCTAGAACCGCTTGTCAGAGGGCTCGAGATTCGCTTGATGACGAGACGCAGGCACCAGGCGCCACGTGAAGGGAAAAGGTCTTCAAAAGTCTACAGGTACGAAGTACCTAGGTAGTTTACAGTAGTACCACGGGTTCGTAATGGAGGGTCGCACACAAACAATGTTCAGAGCTATGGGCCCCGGACACAGCAACCGGTCTACCTAGATCTGCATTTTGGTGGGTGGGTGACAGGTTTGGGGGCTAGCGAGCCCGCTTAAAGAGCATCCCAAGCGCGCGCACTCGACGCTGACGGCTGACGGGGAAGAGGAGACAATGACCCGCCGGGAGGTGCTAGGTACCCTACCGAGGTAGGCCGCGCCGCGTGTATTTGGGCAGGTACCACGGGCAGTAAGTACCTCAGGTACCTACTCACCACTACCTAGGTAGGTACCTAGGCGACCCGGACCCACGCTGCCGTGGTAGATGCATGCCCTCGTACCTGTAGCGGTGGTTAGTGCGGTACAGTACACCGCGGACGGTACTTTGCTCTACACGGGTGCGAGCTACGGGCGGTACGTACCGCTACGGGAGTTGCAGCCCTCTCACCCCGGACACCAGGCAAGGCACTTACTTCCGCAGGTGGGCGCGTGTGGGACCATCGCACCGGCGTCTTTGGCCTTCGCCCACACCAACCACTCTTGCATGCTCCCGTCCAGCGCCAGCCACTCGACTTGGAGAGGGGAATGGAAGGAGAAGGGGGTGGAGGGGAGAGGAGGGGAAGGGAAGGGAAGGGAAAGGGAGCTGAGGGCACCCTTGACCTGCCTGCATTCCATTGTCGCGATCCGATCACAATATCCATTGTTTCAGTTCCCTCTTTTTCGCCTTTTGTCCGTTGGCCACAGGACATGTTGCTTTGCCTAGGTAGGTAGGTGGATAGACCGCCTCCCGACCAGAACGCGTTACATCTGTATTACGCGATTACTTGTGTATTCGTACCAATCCTCAACAGCAGACCCGTTGAACCAGGAGGTGTAAGCGCAGCTAGCTGCCTGACGTAAGCATCCGCGCCTAGGGTGTCAGGAACGGCAGACAAGGACAAGGACAAGGAACCTTCCATTTCCGTTCCCATCGTGACGCCTGAACGTCCGTCCACTGTCACCCAACCCAACCCAACCCAACTGTTTCCCATTTGCACTCCATCAACACGTCTGCAGGCCACATATTGTTCATCGTTCAAGTAGACAATGACTTGGCCCTTTGTTAACAAGCGTTTCTAATCTTAGCTCTCAAAAATTCCCCGAGATGCACGACACCGCAGCTCCGTCACACGAACCTTCCTGTCCGTCAGGGCCTCCAGCCAATGACATCGCCCACCCAACTAAGCGCCCACTAAGCGCTCTCCCTTTACTCTCACGAACGACGTCAAACCACACCGCTGAGTGCCCTTCTTCTGGAAATCTTCCCTCCCCGCTTGGCCATTATCAATCTGCCATTCTATGCATCCCGGAGGCGTTTATAACCTATTAATAACTACCGGACCCAGCAGTTTGTTCTAACCATGGCCGCCGCCCATGGTCAAGCCGCGTGAAGATTTCCCTCCCCCCAACGACTTACACTTCCACCGTCTATTTACCTTACCCGCCGGGCACGATACGCGCCGAGAAGCAGCAGTCTCCCTGCAAGGTACGTCAGGGACGACACATTCCCTACTTGCTCTGCAGGATGACGTGGGCCTCTTGACTCTCGCCTTGAGCGGCCAGGCAAGACGCGGAGCCGCACCTGGGGTCTCTCAGCGTAACGCCCATGCCCTTCGCCTCACTCATCTCACGATACCTGACCCCTGCCTCCATTGAAATCCTCTCCTTTCCCGTCTTGCAGGGAAGATCTTGAGATGGGCAAATACGCGGCCGTCCATTGACGCCTACGACTTACACCCCCTCCGTGTCTTCAACATCTCGGACCCTGAGATCGCGAGGCATGTTTGTGGCGCGAAGACGTTCGTCAGCATAATCTATCTATGCGACCTCGTGTGATTGGCCTTCTCTCCATCGACGAACGCGGGTCCAGAGATCTGGGGGCCCCGGGAATCTCATGCCCATCAAACTGTACACTACCCTCCATCCCCTTCCTGGCAAACTACATGACCCAGTCCCAGGGCAAAGGTGATGCGGAGACGCCGCGGCATGCTCATGCTCGATGCCCTGTCCATTTCAGCAATAACCGCTCTCCGCGTCGATATTTTTAGCTGCCGTTGCTATTCTAAGACAATAGCCTCACCTGCAGCCGCCGATGAGCTGCATCTTGCTTAATGAGACGTCACGTCCCGCGTTGAGCCACGGGGGTACTTCACACCTCAAAGGCCTCCCTTATCTTTACCACCCGCCACCCGGGCCGCAATCTCAAGTTTCGTAAGAACAAAGGATACGGATACGGTTGTTTTTCCATTTTCGAGTCTGCTTATCGGATCCGCATTCGCCTCCTGATATCACCTTACATGAGGCACACGATGCAGGCGGTCGAGTCTAAGCGCGGGAGGCCCAGACGACGCAACAGGCCCCCCCCCCCCCTCTCTCTCTCTCTTTTTCCCATTCCCATTCTTGGGCGTCATCCGTGTTCCCGGCGGCTCCCAGCATGCATGCAGCATATGCAATCTTCAATCTCCATAGTCATCTCGGCGTTTTGTTTGATGGTCCCCCCCCCCCCCCCCCCCCCCTCCCTAGCTTCGCTAATGAGTTAAGCCCGCGCGAGCAGTCCCCATCTAGACGAGGAGAGAGGTATTCTAGTACTAGGGGATGTTTGCCCACGGTGTGTTTATTGACTGGTATGACCACAGCCTGCGTGGATGGCGGGTCGATCATACCTGGGTAGGATGTCCTTGGATGCATTCTCAGGCGCTAATAACATCGCGGTTGGCTACAAGGTACCCTATCTATCGGTCTTACTGTGTGCCCACTCCCCATGGCACATTCCACGAGAACAATGGTCTACTCCCACACGCTTGTGCAATTCGCTAGGTAGACATATGGCTGTAAGCGAGACCCGAAGTTGCAACCCCGTCGCAGGCGCTAGGACAAATCGGAGGTGCTTCAATGTAGCGATCCTAAGCACTTAAAAGTGTGCAGACGCCAGTAAAGTCCAATTTCACGCAGTCTTGTCGCTCGGATAGAGCACGCGGCACGGTGTGACCAGCATCCGCCTAGGGTAGCGCCAGCCGATGTTTTGATATACCCCCCCCCCCCCCCTTAAATTGCTACCCTGCATCGGAAAGACAAGGGCGCATTATCCAGAGATGCCCCTGCTCGCATCACCCATCTGGGACAGCACCTGGCAAGTCGGGCAAGGCAAAAGCCCTTATTCTTTCATTGCTTCGTTTCAGCTTCTGTTCCTATCATGGACTCTTACAGGTGGTTGGTGGGTTTTCATGTCCATCCGCTGCCCCCCCCCCCCCATGACATGCCATCTGTGCTATCGGGGCCCTGTATGGGGGGTCCAAGACCGATATTTCCGTTGCTCACGTATTGCACCGGACTAGGTAAGGGGGCTCAATGCTACGCGCAGGCTCTCTCTTCAGAGGCTCGCCCTGCTGCGATATCCCGTGTCCCATTCCTCACGTCACGGCGCGTAAGCGGTGCTACCTAGTACCTTGACATCTGACGGTACTTGGACGGTACTTGCTTCACTTCTTCTGCCTCTTGGCACTTTTATCGTCGCCGCCGGCGCTCATGACGCTCGCGCTCCGTTTGTGTGACGCCCCGCTACTGCCCGGCCGCGCTGGCCTGTCCTTGTCCGCCTCACCCTTCCCTTCCTCCGTCGCCGCCGCCGGCACAGCCGCCTCTCCTTCCCCATTCGTAGCCGCCGGTGCCTCGGCTCCGGCCGCGTCCCCGTTGGTCTTTGGTTCGTCCGTCATGGCTGTCTCGGCGGCTGCGGCTTCGGTATTAGCCTCACCGTCGGCTGCCTTGTCCTTCTTTTCCTCCGTAGACTGACTCGCGCTCTCGCCCTCCTTCTCCTTGCTCTCAGCCGCCGGGTCAGGCGCTGGTTGCTTCGACTTCTCGCGCTCCGCCTTCTTGGCCAGCTCGAGCTTGATCTCGGCGTCGATCTTGTCCGTGACCTTTCTCGCGTCGAGCAGACTATTGACTGCGCCGAGAAGGAGCTCGTACTGTGACGTGACGGGTGCAGTGGGCATGACGAGCCGTGGCGGTATGTCGAGCTCGTTGAGCGTGTTCATGATGCGCAGCTGCTGCTGGTTCGACTTGTGCGTGAACAGCTTGTTGATCTTCTCATATCGGAACGTCGGTCCGCTGGACAAGCGGTCGTGGTGTGTGACGCCGTAGACGTGCATCTCGGCCTCGGAGAGCTTGCGGCGTTCCTGCTGCTGCTGGCCCTTCTTCCCTCCGGCCGGCGCTGTCGGCGTCTGTGCGACGCTGCTGGGGGGTTCCTTGTGTGGCTTCTCTGGCGGTGCCGCCGTGGCCGCGGCAGCAGCGATGCTCTCGCGACGGTTGGCGTTGCTGTCTGACGCCGCCACCGCTGTTTGTTGCCCAGCCGCGGGCGTAGAGGGGCTGGCGCCGTCGGCTGCCATCAAAGACTTACGCTTCTTAGACTTATCGGCGTTCATCAGGTTCTGCAGGAGCGTCTGCAGCCCAGCGCTGGACTTGAACGCGCTGATGTCCTGGTCTGTATGCGGGTAGTCCAAGCGGTTATACAGCTCCCGGCGCTCCTCGTTGAAGCGGTCGCTACGCGCGAGGATGCGCTTGATCTCCAGCAGTAGCGATTCCTCCTCTTTGGCCTCCTCTTTGCTTCGCGTCAGCGCGTTGTTTGCGAACTCCTTGCGCAGCTTCTCCTGGTTCGCGTTGAAGTTGGCCATGAGCTCGTGAAGTGTGTACTCGGGCTGCGTCATGTACTGGACGGGCTTCTGGACCGCCATCATCTTCGCCGCAACCTCATAGTACCGCGCCTTGAGATCCTCCATCGTCCGCGGCTTCGGCACGGGAATGATGGCCTTACTCTCGTCCCCGTCCGCCGATGCCTCGCCGTTGATGGCCTCGGGCACGTAGTCGTAGCGGTCCCAGATTATCGGCCACCGCAGGTCAAAGTCCCTGACCAGGCTCAGCAGATAATCCGTCTCCTCCTTGGTCCAGTCGTCGCTTTGTAGGTTCGTCCGGTACTGGTCCTCGCTGTACTGAGGCACATCCACCTCGACGTTGAATTTCGCAAACATGGAGTTCTCGGGCTTCGAAGCCGCCTGCTCGCCCTCAGCATCCTTCATTTCCGCATCCCCGCCCTGCGCCGCGCTCTCCTCCGTCGTAGGCGTCTTCCGCTTCCAGTGCTTCAATACCAAGGCCCCGTTGTCGCCCCGCGCCGAGTTGGTAAAGGGCTTGAGCTCCCATTTGGTCGCCGGCTTTCTGCTCGCGAACCGCCGCTTCTTGAAGATGGACACCTCGGGGACGATGGCAATCGGGTTGTCACCGCCCAGGTTCTGCACCTCGCGGGCGAGGCCTTTCAAGTTCGGGCGCAGGGCGGATGTCTTTTGTTTTTTGGCCGGCCGGGGCCCCGCGTGGCTATCGGGGAGGTTGAGAACGTCTCGTACGTCGGACGACGTCATATTCGTGACGTTGAGGAGGACGGAAGGAAGGGGGCGTTATTTCGGCGTCGGGAGTCGATTTTTATTTCTTATTTTTCTTTCGGGTCTTCGTCGACGACGACTATCGTTCCTCTTAATTGCATCAAATTATCGCCGGTCGGTGCACATGCATCAAGGTAATGGGTATCATGGAATTCTTGCAAGGCAGCCTCTCGATTAAAATGTGCTAGTTTGACGGTACCAAAGTGTGTTTGTCGCGGCAGAAACGAAGAAAAGAGTCGGAAGTTGAGGTTCGATTGGCAGGCTCCGGATCTCGAATTCCTAAAGTGCAGCTTTTCCCAGGTTACGCGCTTGCATTTTCCGGCGCGCAGTCCTGTTGTCCAGACCGCACGTGATCCACCCATCCCCCAAAGATGTCATCCGTGCCACCCCTGTCCGTTGGCCGATTTTTCGAACGTGGCAGCTTTGAGGTGCTCCCGCGCACCTTGGGACTTTAATGTGGGTACTCGAGCGAACTGGCTGACCTGGCGCTATCAATTCGAAGTAACAAGAGAATCTCCAGTTCATCCCCCTCGACAGCCGATCACCAGAGGACGACGAGCACGAGTCGACCGCCCCGCAAGAACAGCCCACGGTTCAATTCCTCTCGTCCCGACAATTCGCATTCGCACATAGGTTTCCAACATGAGGCCTTTCCTCCCCCTGCTCTCGCTGAGCGCCGTCGCGCAGGCGCTCTACTTCTACATCGACGGCACCTCGCCCAAGTGCTTCTTCGAGGAGCTCCCCAAGGACACCCTCGTCGTTGGCCACTACACTGCAGAGGAGTACGATGAGCGGACCAACCAGTGGGCCAAGCACGATGGTCTCAGCATCTACATCTCTGTCGACGTGAGCTAACCCCTGATCATGCGCCAACTCTGCGAAGCTGTCATGCAGTTCGGCTGCCCCCTTTCCAAGCTCTGTATCTTTAATCACAGTCATGGACTAACATGCTGCTCCTAGGAAACCTTCCGCAACGACCACCGCGTAGTCTCCCAGCGTGGCCAGGCATCGGGCCGCTTCACCTTCACGGCCGCCGACGCCGGCGACCACTCGCTCTGCTTCACCCCGTCTTCCACCTCTGGCCGTGCCGGCTGGCTCTCGCTTCACTCTCACAACGGCGGCATCCGCCTTACACTTGACCTTGCCATCGGTCAGAGCAGCGAGATCGAAAGCTCCGACAAGGACAAGCTCGAGGACATTGCGTCTCGCGTCAAGGACCTGAACGCTCGCCTGCAGGATATTCGCAGAGAGCAGGTCTTCCAGCGTGTAAGTCATTCCCTTCGTGCGCGCATTCTGGCTGGCTCCGTCACTGGGCCCAGTGGAATGTTCCATAGAACCACCTCAATAGCTTGTGGGACATATCGCGGTACTAACAGTGGCACCACAGGAACGCGAGGCCGAGTTCAGAGACCAATCCGAATCCACCAACGCCCGTGTCATCAGATGGATGTTTATCCAGCTCACTGTTCTTGCTGTCACCTGCACTTGGCAATTGTCTCATCTGCGGTCCTTCTTCATCAAGCAGAAGCTCACGTAAAGAATTGCAACCAAAAAGGGGCTGGTTTCAGGGGAGCATTGACTCAGAGGGATCGATTGATTCAGGACGCGTCATTCTAGGGAGGGAAGCAAATCACTGTTTTGCTTATTGCTTCTCGCACATGCTGACTCGAGGCTGGGGAAAACTGACTTGTAATGATATACACGCCATCTGTAGCTATGAGAGCGAGGCTCGGTCAACGAAGCATACGTCTGAAAGTTCATAACTCACAATCCCCTATCGTTAGGAAAGCAAAATGTAGTTCCGTTTTGCTGACATGTCACCTCCACCAGCCTCGCCAAGGGTTGCCATGCCTGTTGTAGTACGGGAAATAAACACAAGATGAGCATCCTTCTCTACCCCTTCTTCATTGACTTGACACACGTACACACTTGTCTGACGAGAAAACACAGTTAGATTGCTGAGTCAGCTAACATAGTCCTGTGGTTGTTTTGTCTCGATCTTCAGACATCTTCATATAAAAGGGGCCATCCCCTAAGAGTAACTATCAACATACGACGATATAAACATGTTCATTTACTAAAAATAAAACTAGACCCCAAAAGTCAAAAGAGTTCACTCCCCGGTGGGAGCTACATCTCTGGTGCACATGCCGGGAAGTCGAAGCCATCGCAAGCCTGTCGTCGAGTAGGCTATTCGGTGCGGAATCGAGCGGGAATCGAACGGTCGACCTTGGCGATTGAACCACATCACACGGTTTGACCTGAACCCCTACGCCTAGGAGCCGCCCCCGTGCTGGTTGTTGCCTCACTTTCTTTGGCAAAGGGTAGAAATAGGGCGGTTCCTCGAGGCTTTCGGTTTTCTATAACCTTGGGACGGAAGGAGCGTATGGGGGGGCAGCCGTGGCTGGTGTTAGTGGTTGTGGTGCGTCGTGATGGGATGAAAGGGTCGCCGGGGTAACGGGGAAAAACAGGAGGCGGGTAAGGCGGGTCAGGTGCCGCCTGTTGCCTCGCCTCTCCTTCCTTGAACACCATGTATGCCGGATATAACGTGATATGTCATTGATATTCAGACACTGCAGACTCGTGAGGTGCATGCTAGCTGGCAACTCTGTAGACATGTCTGTTCTCAGTCAGTGGAGGAGAAATATGTTGCTGCCGGCTCTTGTTGATAGCAGCAGAGTTGATTTGGTTGTTGCCGGCAATGGAAATTGGTGTTCTATCGAGGAAGGTTGGGCGATGTCAATCCTCTGAACAGAAACTCGGCCAGGGGGCGAGTATGGTTTGCCTTCGCCTACAGAGAGTATCCATTTCTTGAAAATCGGGATGTTCCATTTCAAAGAACGGAGGAGGGCCTTGGTTGGAACTTGGAACCTTATCGTAAATGAATGTCATGAGATGGTGGTTGACCCTAACTTACCTAGACTTAGATAACATACGTTGAGTTAGTCGGTATTCAATGGTCTCCAGATGACACAGAGATAGCTTTCCGATTTATCGCCTTTATAAACCCGAAAGTCTGAGGACGACTGAGCGTCTGCAAAGACACCGTTATTGGAAGCCCAACGTCGGAACCGTGAGACCTTGTCATTGGTGGTGCTGGCGACACGGTATTCCTGATCATTTATCGCATCTTGGAGTCGAGCGATGTCTTCCCATCCCAGAGTCTGGATTCTGGTAATGGGCAGCCAACAGCCAAATGTTCCATCCTGGGAAATCTGGGAGTGAGTAGGCAAGCAAGGCGGTGTCTTTATCTTATATAGATCCAGGGAGTAGGTAGCAAGTGATGTCTCAAGGTAGTGCCCCAGGGTACTAAATCCCATGATGTACGATTAAAAGTTCATGGCCTAGCACTTGATACGTTAAGTTTATTAAAACTTTGGGCTTTTATAAAACCTCTAGCCTAAAATCTCTCGCAAAATAGCCCCCATGGCCAATATGGTAACGAGGACCTCCATCCTATATAGAAAAGGAGTGAGCCAGAGAACCGGAAGACAATGGGGCAGCTTATAAATTTATAGAGTTCGATTCCAAACCCGAGGAGCAACATTTATCAAAGTCGATTACCACGACACTGCCTCATGGTGGATGTTTTGGCTAACTTGATCATCGGCGAGCTGATCTGCCGCATTGTTCTCTTGGAATGATTGTGGCGACGCATTGTTCCTCTATGGGGTTCTCTACACCTTTTTCACACGCATTATCAAACCACTCGCGCGCACAATGGTCTCGCACTTTCCCACACACACCATTCTCGCCCTCCTACGATGGATACTGGCCACGTCACGCGTCCCAGAACTCTTGGGGATCGACCCCAGCAACCAAGACTGCATATCGAGATTCACGTGTGGCATCTGTCTTGTGGGGCTTCTCCTGCTAGGTATTCTAGTCATCTTTGGCCTACGATGCCACTTCCACTACAAGTTTGCCTACCTTTCAACACAGTCCCGAGACCTACGCTTTCATATATTTCATATGCATAGACTGTCCCGCCTTGTGGCTGGCCGTGTTGTGGGGGTCCTGTGTTGGGAATTGAATTGCGTTAGAGGGACAGCACGCGTGGACAAGAACCCTGAGAATCAGTCATCGAGTAGGAGGCATAATCTGCCTCCTTTCTGCGACCTCGTAACGCTAACCTTCGGACTCTCCTCCCCTTCCTTCACTGAACACCGCGAGGGTCGGATATCACGTGCGACGTTATTGATATTAAGACACTACGGACTCATGGAGCCCATCTCATCAGCTGACAACTTACGTGAGCCTTCCCAAGTATGCTCAACATGTTGCCAGCGTACCAATATGGTACTGTTGGCAAAGACGTATAGATATCGACCGCTATATCGGAGCTGGCTCCCAAGGCGTGGAAGGCAACATCGATATCCCTACATATATCATAGACATACTACTCTATAACTACTTCCCATACCAGGAACATAACATGTTTATAAGAAGTTATGTTCTAGGAAACAAATGAAGCCACTAGGGCAAATTGGGGACATTTGTATGTATCAGATAACTCTGGCGAGCTTCTCATCGTCACCAACCAAAGTACTATAAGCAGGTCAAACGCAGGACTCTAGCACATACGACCATACCCACTGGAAAACTCGGGATCCCGTCCGCTCTCCCATAGATAAGCCAGTGAGGGCCGGATTAGTAGTTGAGTCGGTGACGATCAGCGAATACCTGGTGTCGTATGTTTTTTGGAGGGGTTATGATTTTGTTTTTCTTTCCTCATGACATGGTCTCTATGAGAGACCGGATTCTTTCAAGTGGATATGATTTTCAGCCTGGGTTAGCGATTGACCATAAACACTCTACAGTCCAACTAACTACATGTTGTGGGACTGATGGCACTATATTTCAAAGCAACAAGTTGGGGGGTGTCGTTCATAGTTGGCATTTTCTACCTGTTATTCTCTAAACGGCGCACCTCTAGCTTCCGATGAATCACCGATCCATATTCGATTTCAGCATTCCGTTATATTCGATGGCGATTCTGAAAGACAATAGCAGCGATGGCCACGTAGTAGTCTTTGTGACTTGCTGCCTTCTCATTCCGAGTTCTGCATCTCCTTTCTTGCTATCTTGTATCTCTTCCTTATATAACGCGATTCGGTTTCGTGCTGGCGGGTTGAGAATTCGAGAAGGATTCGCCATGTAGGACTCGCAAAAGCCCCAGTGATCTTCGGCAAACCTTCTTGCAGAGCCCGTACCGCTTCATACTTGTCGAGAGACGACTTCCTTTGGGCTACGTCGTCCGGGCTATATTTGTAGCCTTCTCTCGGGCGAGGTCTCTGAGATCAGGGTGTTTCCCAGAGCTGAGCCTGAGCAATTATTCCTGGAACAGGTGTGTTTGTGGAAGATCGTGGGAGCCCAGATAGCACAGGGTATCGTAAAGCTGAGGTGTTGCGCCGAACGTTCTCTGCTTTGGTAACCCTGGGTGCCGCATCAAAATCTCTTGATACGGTATATAGAGGCTTGACTATTATGTAACTAAAAGCACGGAGCAAATGCAATCAGTCCACCATGCCAGCACAGAGCAATCTACAAGGGCACCTATTGAGGAACCGGCTCGCTCTTATAGACCAGTCATCGGACTCCCTCTCCACGTAGTTTGTCGTCCGCCGAGAAGCCACAGCTCAACTCCATCAGATATTCGTCAAATTTGTTCGCCTCCCCTATGATGAATTTGATATGCTCATACCCCATGGTACACTGCTATCTGCCGAGCCGTTGAGATGGCGTTGCGGATCTCTCGTTCGTTGAGATTCGTCTTCGCAAGGCTGGGAATATGGGCCCTGATCTCGTCCGCGTTCATCCCAATATCTTGCTGGCCACAATTCGCTTCTCTGGCGTCGGCTCCACCAATGCTTCGATTGTCCAGGATTTCGATGCGGTCGATAAAGTATTTCCAAATCTGCAATCACTGGTTCTCGTCCAGGTTCTTGTATCGAAGATTCAGTTGGATGCTCGTCGTCAATCACCAGGTGCTTAAAGGCTTGATTTTTCCATTTGACATCCTAAAGGAAAGCAACTTCCAGCTCGACTGAGGCAAACAAGATGTCAGACATCAGACTTGGGTAACATTGGCGGATATTCAACTTACCTCATTCCTCCTTGTGCATGTTGAAGCCATACATTGAGGTTGGGAGGCAGAGGAAAAAGTCGTCTCCAATGTCAGGCTCATCCTGTCATTCAAACAAGCCAAAGATTGTGACGACTGGTTTACCCTGCTACGCAAGACTTGTGAGAAGATACCCTACATTCGATTGTGCTTGACGTCGCCATGATCCCTCTCCCTTTCCAGGACGCAACTAAGAGTTCGCCCATGCCATTCCAAAGAATTGGCGAGGAGCTTGCGGCAGGTCCAACCCCAACCCTTTTGCAGGTATTGTTCCTGGGACCACGGCGTTTGTTCGAGCAGCACCACGACCTGGGCCCGGTCGTTTCAATAAGAGAGGCTCTAGAGTCAGAAAGTCGATCCCCGTATTTCAAACCTCCAAAGAGGACTATATTGCCGCTCTTCAATGGTCCAAAAGCCTCAGGAGAAGCTCCAACGTCATGGTCTCCTAGCTCCTTTGACCGGTAACTCAGCATCACCCGGCCATGGAACGAAGAGACGCTAACACATCAGTGTTAGGGACTCCACAGGAAGCCAGGATGAAACGGCCATGCCACATTGTCACGTCGCTGATTTCACTTCTGTGTCTCACAGCCCACCAAACCAACTTGTAGAGAATCAAAACCTGCCTGCTCCAACGGCTCTGGCTTCTGCAGTATCAACAAATGCTTGTGTAGCACGCTCTTGTGATGACGTACCAGAGCCTGTAAAGGAAACGCAATGTTCATCTGCCACAAGGGCCTCTGCCATACACCAGAGATGTTTTGCCCAAGACTCATGTCTTCGCACAGGCTCAGAAGCGCATTAAACGGAAGTATCACACGAAACACATGCTCTACCTCTCGCGGACTATGGCATCAGGAACGCGTTAAAAACGCAACGTCCAGGGCCTTCCGACCTCCGTGAAGACCCGAAAGGTCCGCCCAAAAGCCGAGAACTAATCAAAATCGCTCTGGTGTGCGCCTTGCCCCTGGAGGCAGATGCCGTCTTTGAGCTCTTTGACGAACATTGGAAGATTGAAGGTCCCATGTGGAGCAGGATGATGTCCCCAGGAGACACCAACGCCTACTCCTTCGGCATCATTGGCGATCACCCCCCTGTGATCGTCTACATGCCCGGGATGGGGAAGGGGGAACGGAGCGATGGTAGCGGCGAACTGTCGCAACAGCTTCCCGGATCTCAAACTCGCGCTTGTTGTCGGAATATGCGGAGGCGTCCCATTCTACGACAAGGAGATGCAGGAGATCATCCTCGGAGATGTGACTGTTAGCGAGGACTTTGTGCAATACGACGTCGGCAGGAGGTATTCGGACAAGTTTGAGATAAGGGAGTCCGCATGGTCCGTTACTGGGAGGCCGCCTCCCGAACCACGAGGGCTAATCAACAAACTCAAGAGCCCAGTGTACCGCAGGCGGACGCAGGAAAAGACATGCCTACACCTTCAGACATTACGTGAGGAACTCGGATCCGAGGCAGAGTATTCCGGCGGCGCCGAGGACCAGCTATTTGAGGGACCTACCGGCACAGACATAACAATACCTCAGGCTGCCCGTGGCTCCGGTTGTCCACTTTGGCTATATCGTCCGTGCGGACCAGGTCATGAAGTCGGGGGAGCACCGGGACAACATTGTAAGGGAGACGGGCGCGATTGCTTTCGAGATGGAGGACGCGGGGGTTTGGGACATGTTCCCGTGCCTCGTAATCAAGGCTGTGTGTGATTATACCGACAGCCACAAGAACAAAACGTGGCAGACTACGCTGCCGCCACGGCTGCTGCTTACGCCAAAGCGTTGCTACAGGAATGGTAATGTAGTTGTGATCCTGTCGTGTCCTACCCTGCCGAGAGCTCAAGTCTCCAGTATCTATATGCGAGTATATTGAACCTTAGGACCGAGTAGGTTAGATCTTGTTGCGGATGGAGGCAGAAACTGGGGCTGAAGATGGTCTGATAGAGCAGTTATCGAAAGTGAATTCTTGCTCAGTTCATGTGTTGCTGGAAAATATGTTACCATCTTGTCAACATCAACATCTCTAGAGAAGAGTGGTATATTGTTCGGTCAGATGTGATAATGATTTTAGGTATGTTACGCAGTAGATGCCTGGACTCAAAGTTACATCACTATCGTCGTCCTTTCCGAGGTCTCATAGTTGCAGCTCGGCGTCAGCATCAAGCACAAGCCTTACTTTCATCGCCTCGCTCCTCTTCTTCGCATCGATGCTCTCCTCCATCATCCTCAGAGCAGTCTCCCTATTCACCAACTTGGAGAACGCTTTCAGCGTGTATTCGTCTGCCTCGTACCCGGCCATCTCGAGCCGCTGCAGTGAATGCACCGTCTTGCCGACGTCCTGGGTCTTCGCATGGCCTGAGATCAAGGTGTTCCACGTAACGAGGTTCGGCTTCACGCCGTGCTGACGCATCATGGCGAGGATGCGCTCCCCTGAGGCCTTCTCCTTGTGTAACATAAACCCATGCAAGAGGATGCTCCAGGTGAAGATGCTCGGGGCCGGGTGAAGCGGTGGCGATGGCGACGACGGCGCAGCGGTGAAGATGCTCGGGGCCGGGTAAAGCGGTGGCGATGGCGACAACGGCGCAGCGGCAGCAGCCTCGACAGCTGGTTCCTTCGAATCGCTGACTGACTTGCTTCGCGCGTTAAGCGTGTGCTTCAGCATGTCGCCGATGATATCCAGGGCCGCGCGTAGCATGCCCGGAGACTCGCACAGCGCCTTGATGACGACGTCGTACACGAAAGTGCCTTTCTCTCGGACAAAATTTGTCGCGACAGGGTTGCCCTTGGAGATGAGCTGTCTAAAGTAGGCGTAGAGCGATATCAGGCTGATCGGCTGTGAGAGGCTCTTCACATAGGCATTGAACATGATGCCCAATGTGGCGCCCGTCGGGTTCAGCTTGTGCGGGACTGCAGACATGGCCGCGTCTAGCGCAGGAAACAACTGCCGGGCCAGTTGCCAGTCCGGGGGCATCTCCAAGCCCCGAGAGGCATCGAGGTAACGGGAGAGGTTGACCGGGATAAGAGACTGCAGAGGTGCAAGGTGGAAGATCTTGGAGTAGAAGTGGAGCATTGGCCTGAAGGCCGGGACAGAGCCGTGAACAGGCTTTTTCTTCTCCCTAGTCTCTGTCTCGGAGAAGTGAAGGAGAGAAAACAGCAAGTCGTTAATGAAATCCACGTCGATTGCATTGGACTCGGCAGCACCTGCTACGATCATTTCGATGGTAGACGCCGAAAGAGCCCTCTTGGCTCCATCGAGAAGGGTCGCCCACATGATGGTATCCGGCTTGATATCGTGCCGTTGCATGACCTGGAAAACCTCCCAGGCCTTCTCGGTCTGACCCGTCAAGCACAATGACCTCATTAATGCTGTGTAGCTGATCATATTGGGGACGAAGCCATGCTCCAGGAGGACGCTGAATGCGTCTGCAGCGGAGAATTCGTCGCTTGTTTTGATATGCTCGGGATGAAGAGAAAGAATGATGGTACAAAGGCTTATCCACTGGCCTGAGTTGAGATCTGCGCCTCCTTTCTCAACGGCTTCGACGGCCATCTGCAAAGCAAGCGTTTTGGTTTGCGGCGTCCTCGCAATTCGCTTGGCCATGCAAAACAGCGTATGGCGATGTAGATTGTGACGATATTCCTTCAGACAGTGATAAAGAGCCTCAATACCTTCGATGCTGGTGGTTCTTATTAGGTTGTATATGGTGTTTTGCCGTATACGAACATGCTTTTGAGGCGTCTTGTTGATAATCGTGATAACAAACTTGCACAGAGCCTCGGCGTGAGATGTACGCTTCTCGCCAGCTAGCTTCTGACGTTGCCATTTGGCGAGAAAGTGGATAGCGTCCTGGAGAGCATAGCCAGGTGGTATAAAGTCCTCAGTTGTAACCTCAAGGAGAGACAGCGCTCGGTCAGGACAAGACCACAACGCAGAAAATATGAGCGTATGCCAACTTTCCGGCTCGGTCCTCTTCTGGATAGGCCATGATGCCCAATTTTCGAGCGTATGTTCGATGGATTGACGGTCCATAATCCAATCCAGCCTCTCGGGCGTCACATAAGAGGGGCCCCGCGCCGTACGCTCGTATAGCCTCAAGAAGTCATTCTTCCAATTCTCAAAGCGCTTCAATTCCGGCGCACTAAGGTGGTGCCGCAGATATCCATACTCCCGGTATCTCAACACAGCTTCTCGTGCCAGCTCGTTCGCCCATAGCATTATGTCTTCCGAGGTTTCGGCCGCCTGGGCCTCGATACGTTTAATGGCTTGTCGTATGAAAAAGCCCGGTTTAGCTTTGGTCATTTTCGGGAAGGGTATCCATTTTAGGGACTTTGATTTGATCTTCCGAATTCTGAACGGCTTTGAGCTCGAGGCCGGACTGACCACGGTGCTTTCGTTTCGAGCTTGAAGGAACAGCTGGACTTGACCGGCGTTTAATGACTGGCGAGCATGTTGCTGGATGCGCTGCAAACACGGCCGACAAACGAAAGGCTGCGACATCGCATGGATACCGAGAAAGAACAGGCGCAGGGGTGTAGGGTCAGCTTGAGGGAATGCTGAGCTGCTGGCGAGGCGGCATTTTCAACTTGCAGAATGGCTGCGGTGATGTTGGTCAAGCTGAAGAGAAGTCGAAATCGTGAAATTTTGGACGCTACAGCTCCCCTGCACGTCCCGGAGCTAAATGCGACCACAGCAAGCCCGTGCATCTTTAGCGCATTTCATGGAAGTATTCCGCCAATGCCAAATTTCCGCCCCACACTAACAACCAGCCGAGCCAGCCTTCGAACGTCAACTTCTCGATTGGCCCATCAGTCTGTAACTCCCAATCACCGGCCTCACGAACCATCGCATAGGATTTTCTCACATTTCGACTTGTTCTCTCACGAAATTCGCCGCCATGTCAAGCTCGCAAGGAACCCTGAGCGCCGTCACAGACGAGCGCAAAGCGCGCCTGGCGAAGCTCAAGAACCTGAAGAGAAAACAACCAACAGACGAGGTCGTCCCGCCCGAGTCAGAACGCGCAGCCTCGCCCCCAGCAGAGCCAGATGTATCGAGATTGCACCTATCCGGTCGAAACTACGACCCCGAAGCACGAGGACCCAAACTCGGGTTTGAGGCGCCTCCGACACAAAATTTGGAACAGCCCACGCTCGAGGAGCTTGCAGCAGATATCGAGGCCGACGTCAGGAAAAAGGCTGCCGAGGAATCGCAAGACGACAAGGGCATTGACCTGTTCAAGCTCCAACCGAAAAAGCCGAACTGGGACTTGAAAAGGGATTTGGAGAAGAAGCTAGAGATCCTCAACGTGCGGACGGACAATGCAATCGCGAAGCTTGTGAGGGAGCGCATTACGGGGGCACAGAATGCGGCAACACAGGCCAAGCAGGTCGACTCAGGGAGCAGAGAGGGCGACGCGGCTGGGATGGATGGCATCGCGCTAGTCGAAGGAGTCCGCGTCCGCGAGAGGGAAGAAGAAGAGGACGAAAGACGACAGAAGGAAGAGGATGACGATTTGGCTGTTTAGAGGCGACAGGATTATGTATGGACGGTAAAAGTTCCTTGTATTATGGCTTTACATCAGGTAGACTTTTTGCCTGACCTTCAAATTATTGATACCCATCGACTACCTGCCCATGTTTAAGGACTGCGTCAGAGCGAGTCTCTTGGAAAACGGACTGAGACTCCTCTCCCGTGCCGACTGTTGTTGCTTCGGCCTTCTGTCTTGCCCTTCATTCCTAGCACCCCGACCCATCCGGCGTTCAGGGTCGTCCCGGTAGCCCGAGTTTCCGCTACCACCCCAGCCTGGACGGCCACCGCCACTTGCGCCCCGTCCGTCAGGCGACCTTGACAGCGACCGCCGGGCACTGCCAGTGCCGCCACTTCGAGAGATGGACGATTCTCTTGAATAGGAGGGGTCGCGAGCGGAGCCTCTCCCAGCCGGTCTCACGCGGCCATCATCTCTCTCACGGTACCTCTTCTCATAGGTTCCAGGGGGCGAACGGCTGTCACGGGACACAGATCTTTGGCGACGTGTGGGTGGAGTCTGGCTATGTCTGCTTCTGGTAGAGCGCCTGGAGACGGAACGGCCATCCTCGCTTTCTGGACTCAACGATCTCGGCCTGGAGGCCCTTCTGTCCTCCGGGGATCTCTGCCTCTGACGAGAATGCATTGGGGAAGGTGAACGCCGTCTAGGCGGCGGCGGCGAAGCGGAACGCCTCGTTGAAATGGTGGAGACAGAGTCGACGGACTCGGACCGTTGTCGTTTGCTTTCTGTCTTCCTGATGAGCTCATTATCCCTCTCCTCTAACTCTCGCTGTCTGGCCCTCTCGGCCTCCTTTTTCGCGAGCTCGGCATCTGCAATGCCTTTCCTGAGTCTCGAGTTAGCAGGCAATATGATTACAAGTCCGAGACGAACTACTTACTTGCGTTCGGCATCGTCTGGGGTTTCGTTCGTTAACTTTGGCATGAGCTTCGGGTTGCGCAACTGCTGTGTTCGCGAGGGCCGAGACACATAGGGCCTGGTCTGGGCCGGCTCCTTGCACTCGTATGAGTAGTGACGTTCTGTGGGAGTCAGCATAATGTTTGTGATGAAATGGCCAATGATAAACTTATCTCTTTTGAGACATTTCTGACACTGGACGTTTGCTGGTGTGGATTGGCGGGGGCCACCACGTCCTCTATAAGGGTGCATGGATGACTGACGGTTGCTGGTTGATTGATGGGGATTTGAGGTAGTTGCTGTCAATTTCTCGCTGTTCCGGCGTCTTGTATCAGGGCGCGATCTTTTTCAGGATTTGATATGCGATGTTGCACGCATGTGAACGTTGAACGGGTTTCGTCTCTCTTGCTAGCCGAGAACCTCAGGATTGTGTGTAACAATATTGTTGTGAAAACGGTCTTGTCAAAGGTGGAGGTTCCGTTCCTGAGGGGTAAAGCTGATTCGATCACCACTGCCTACTCGTCGGCGTCTTTATCCAGCTGATTTTAAAGAAAGGCAACGCCAACCAGCATGAGGTTGGTCGCTTATGTAAGTACACAAGATCCGCGATTCTTTCGTGTTGACCGGAAAAGCATCAGCCTCTTGGGTTGCGCACCAGCCACACGCCCTTCAGATTTCTCGGGACGACTAAGCCACTTTCGGTTCAGGCTCTGGTCTTTTGTCTCTCGCCCGGCGCCAACCTACTAAGCCCGAGACGAGACCTGCTCAATCCTCACCAGAATTTGTGACCACCACCCGATTCTTCAGCCTGACGTCCCACACGACGTTGCGGAAGGGATGTCAGCAGTCTGACACCATCTTGTACCAACTTGAGACTGCTGTCCGCTCCATTGGGAGTTGCCGGCATTTAAGCTTCTAGCTCCTTTACCACGGCTCTGCGACCGAGGAAGTGAGATCGGAAGAGAAGAGAACCGTCACGCTCCCTGAGTGAGACATCGCGACTGAATCCCGTTATTATAATACAGACTGCTTGCTTGCACTACCGAGGGTGAGTGACCCCGAGCCCGACCCTGAGCCTGCACCTGAGGGAACCTGTCGGTGCCGACCTCCAGTTTCCCCATCTTCTTTTTCCCTTTCCAGCGCAATCCCAAAAACCCACACCACAGCTCTGTCAATTCCCTCCCGCACTACCTAACATCGTCTGCACCACACCACCCACACCACACCTTTACCCCCTCTTCCCAAGCCCGTGACGGACCATCTGCCTTGCAGGTCGCCAGGGAAGGAAAAAAAAAAAACCACAGTCGCCTCGCTTCATTCGTTGCGCGCCCACTTGCCACTTTTTGAGATCAAGTTACGGGCCACAACCGCTAACGGATAGCCACTCAGGCGCAGACCTGATCAAAGCATCCGACGACGCCTGTTTCTCCCCTCTGACGAGAACCGGGGCTATCAACCATCGACCATCCAGGAACATACCAGCGCTATGATGACGAGCTTGTCCCGACGATGATCCACGGTATTTTTTTCTCGCTCTGCAGGCCCGCCTTGATCCAGTTTGTTTCTTGATTTCGGATATCGTCCTGAGTCCTCTTTTCGATTCCGGTTTTCAATTCGTCTCGCGCGTCACCAGCACTACAGCGCGGTTCAATCTTGAGTAGACGACTTTATTCCCATCCCACCACCCACGGCCGAAAGTTGAGCCATATCTAAACCTTTACTCCAGCTATGGCCACTGCCCACATGTCATCCGACCTTCCTAAGCCCTCTTTTGCAAAGGTGCGCTGTGCTTCTGAGCTGCCCCTCGTCCCCGAAGCTCAGCGGTTGCCTGATGATAAATGCTAACGCATGTTGCGCTCTTGTAGGTCGCTGCATCAGCATCAAAAGATAACCTACCTGTCTCTACCGTACGACGAGTAACCGCGCCAGCTCAAGACCGCCCAGACCAAGCTTCGTCCTCCAACGCTGCCTCTGTCCCTACACACCTCGCTACAAACGAAGCCGACAGCCACAAATCTTTGATCATGAACTCCACGAAACCCGTACCGGCTGCCGCCAAGCGCGAGCCCGCCCTGCCCAAGAAGGCCAACGCGATCGACCATGTTGTGGATGGACTGAAAGACCTGAGCATTGGACAACGAACACCAAGCCTTGTCGTGAACGGAACGGGATCCTCCTTCACTGAGCGATCAAAGTCTTTGAACAAGGACGGTTCAGACGATTCCCAGAGAGCCGACTCAAGCTCCGAGCTCGGCACCAAGCCCCCCAGCCTAGACGGGAAGAGCATTACTTCCGGAACAACTTTCGCGTTGGATGAGAAAGAGTCACTGCGTCCGGATGACAGCGCTAGCGTGAAAGCCGCGGCTGCTGAAGATGACGATTCGTTTTCCTTCCGAGGTCCGAACCTACCCAACTCTAGGATGGGCTCCGATATAGCCGCGCGTGCGAGGGGTATCATCCAGCTTGGCGACATGCCAGATCGCCGCCTCATCCAGCCCATCTCTGGATCTCTGAGCCAGGGCATGATCACACCTCAGAGCGCTTCTTCGGACCAGCCGCCAATGCCCTCTACTAATGCTTTATCGACCACTCTCCCCGACTCGGCCAATCTCTTGAACACCATCTACGGACAGGCGCCAGACGAGAAGTTATTGGAGGCCATGGCTTCCCCGAAGGACCGGTTATTCCTGTTGCGACTGGAGGCCGAGTTGATTAAGTTTGTTCAGAATTCCAAGTAAGCCCGATTGAGAACTGCCCAATTATGTGTATATGCGTGACTTACGATCGTTTAGGGAACCTTACATGGATTTCCCCCCATCCAACTCCTTCTGTAGGATGCTCACCCACAAGCTGGCCGATTACTACAGGATGACACATCAGTATGAAGCTCGTGTTGGATCTGTGCGAATATTCCGAACCCCTTACGCAAGGGTACCCGAATCGCTGGCTAGTATCGCTGCTCCGGAGACCAATGCCGAGACACCACCTCCACCTGCGGTGCTCCCACGAAAGATCATGCGTCGGGGTGAGGAGGGAGAGTTTGGCCCCAACAGTGCTTCTCCATCCAAGCCTACTTCCGAGACCGGCAGTGACTCCAAGGACAAGTCTGGCTCTGCCAATCAGAAGTATGTTCATACATACATCTATATAAGGGTTAGTGCTCTGCTGACTGATGTAGACTATCGAGGGAACAACGTGAAGAGGCGTACAAGCAGGCCCGTGAAAGGATATTCGGCAGTTCCGAGAAAACTGGAGAATCAACGCCCGGTATGAATACCCAGAGAACATCACCAACCTCACACTGATTATGTTTCTAGACAACGACGGTGAAAATGGCATTTCACGCGCCAGCTCAGTCTCTGCCAGAGAGAAGTCACAGTCTGGCAAACGGGGTAAAACGAGCAAGCAGAGACGAGATGATTCTGAGAGCTTCGACTCGAGACACAACTACACTCCATACTGGGGCCCGCAACAGCAGACGTGGATACCGCAACCCCAATACGTCCCTGTGTCCAACCAGTACGGTGCACCAGTACAGCAGCAGCCGTACCCGAACCAGATCCAAGCCCCTTACAACACGACGCCCACCCAAACCTTTGCGCCTATGATGCCTAATACGGGTTACAATGCGGCGTACCCGAACATGCCACCGGTAAGCCATACACTTCACACTCTGCAGACGCCGAGCTAACCGGTCCCAGTACCCGCCGCAGGCGAGCCAAGCTCAGTTCCAGCCGTCTACGGGCGCCAGGAACTATGGAGGATCTGGACCCGGGCCTGCTCCCCCGCCACAGCAAGGTTGGCAGCAAGGATTTGGACCGGCGCCGGTTCCGATGACCCCCCCTTCCACAGCCAGTGCCACGGTCTACACGCCGCGAGGTATGTCTGCGCCGCCTGGGCAAAGCACGGTTCCGTACATGTACGGACAGCTACCGGCCCATATCAACCCAAACGACCCCAAGAGTCAGCATCCCATTCCCGGTAGTTACAACAGGCATGCGTTCAACCCCAAGACGCAGTCTTTCGTTCCTGGCGGTGGTATGGGCCCAATGCAGCCGCCTCAGCCACCATTCAGTGCCCCTGGCTCCCACCATGGTAGCCCCCAGATTGGTTCGCCTCACTTGGCATATGCCGGCTACCAGCAGCCAGGACCGCCGGCACCATACGGTTACGGCATGGCCCGGCAGGGATCAAACAACTCGATTCCCTCGTACCATCCCCCTCCGCCTCATCACCTAAACCCTCTTCCCCCAGCACCGGGTTCTCACATCCCTCAGCACCCACCGCAACACCTTCCGCAAAACCCCTCTCCCCACATTCCTAACAAGCCCGCTATCCCCCAAGGTCCGGCCGGACAGACGTTCAGCCACCTTCCTCACTACGGCAATCCTGCCACCTTGCCGCAGAAGCCAAACATGGGTGTTTAGTGGAGCAATCGACGTTGCAGGTCTACGGCAGAATGAACGGCGCATGGGAGGGTCTTTCAAGGTACAGCATATTGGCGTTCACACGGAGGGATAGGATGGCATCAGATCATGTAGGCTATTGCATGCTAGAACACTTACGTACCTTAATTGTCACTCAACTTTCTTGAAAGACCCGCGATTGTATGGCCGGTTCTCGTTCTCAAATCTGAATATTTGCATGAAAGCGTGAATAATCATCATTGCAACTGCCTAGCGCGTTCTACCCTAGGCCGTGTAACTCTGCCACTGCCATAACGCCATGATGGTTTCATCAAGTGTGGGTTCCTCATGATGCCATGCTTGCTAACCTCGCGGCGGAAAATGCCTGCATTGTGTGCTGGCTCACTCGTCTCTTCCAACCTCCATCTCCTTTTTATCCATTTAAGGGGAAAGTGTGTGTTGGGGGGGGGGCTTGTTCGATATTCTCCCTCGTGTCTTTCCTCAATGGCTCCGCATGTGAGGGAAACATGTTCTCAAACAAGATTGGCTGCTTCACTCGGTGGGTTCCCTCGGCTCGCGGGGCTCTCTGGGCTCTCCCCTCTGGCCGCCGCCGCGGCCACCGCCGCGCCCGCCACGCTTGCCGCCACGTCCGCCGCCACCCCGCTGCTCGCCCTTCTCGCCGCCCTCGGTCTGCTTGCCCTCACCGTCCTTCTCGCCGCTGGTGAGGTTGGCAACAGCCAGCCGTTGCGACAGGTCGATCTGCGTGCGGATGGTGTTGGCCAGGTAGGAGACCATGAGGACGTCCTGGATATGGTTGTTGAAGTCGTGCTCGATCTGCTCGGGGTCGACCTTGGGGGCGAGCGAAAGAGCGTTCATGAGGTACTGGCCGAGGGCCTGGTTGGGCTCCTCGTCCTCGTCGAGGATGCCGTTGACCCAGTCGCTGACGCGCTCGATAAGGTTGGTGCCGGACTCGATGGAGCGGGCGAGCCCCTCAATGTCGGAGACGACCGGTGCGGTGCGGTCCTCGGTGTCCTTGGCCATGGAGATGGCCTCAAGGGCGCTGCGCTCGGCATCGCCGTACATGAGCTTGTGGGGAACCTGGATGAAGAGGCAGCTCTCGGCGGCGCGCTCGGCGTTGACGGCGACGGGGGCGGAGATGTAGCATCGGGCCTCGATGTCGGAAGTGGGGTCGGTGCTGATGGTCAGGTGGACGGCGGGGTGGGGGAAAGTGCCGGTCTCCGGAGAGGCGAAGAAGTTCTGGATCAGGGCGGAGAAGGAGTTGAGCTCGTGGGTGGTGGTGTACCAGCCGAGAAGGGACTCGCGGGGGTTGGCCTTGAGGGTGAGGGCCAGCATGTTCTTCTGGTAGTCGACGTCGACCTCGACCTGGTCCTCGTTCTCGGTATGAGGGATGGCGAAGCAGGAGCGCACTTCGACCTCGGTGCCATCTTCGGAGCGGACACCAACGAGGGCGCCGATAACGCGGGTTGATTGCGTATCGCGGATGTCTCTTCGCACAGCATGGTCGAGGATAGAGAGGATGGCCTGCGGGAGAGAGAGAAAGAGAGGTGGGGTCAGCAACAAGCTGTCTCGGAGGGGTAAGTGAAGATTATGTGTATGGATGTCAAGACTTGAGTTGAAGTCTGAGACATGGCTTCCGGGTATATAGCCTTAGCCCGTTGAGCGCAGCAAGAGGTGTCGTACCTGGGGTTGGATGTTGACGGTGAGCGGGGCAATGTTGCCTGGGATGCCAATCGTGGCCGGCGCGATGGGCCGCGAAAGGTGGAGGAACTTCTCAGTTGCAGCGACAGCCATACTGGGCAGGATTTGGGATTTTCGGGGTTGTCGTCGAACTTTTCGGAGGTTGAGAAGTTGTTCTCAGGAGAGGGAGGGGAGGGGGGGAGGTCGGGTTGGATGCGCAGGCCAAAATTTGGGAAGTGGGTTTCGGTCTTTGACTGACGGGCGTCCTTTTTTCGCGATGGTTCGCTTCAAAAAATGCGTCGAACTCTGCACCCGTACCCTCCTTTCGCTTTCCCGGTGGGTGGTGCGGATTTTGCGATTTGTGGTTGGCCCCGACCGGGTTGTGCGCGCTAAGATAAGGCTCGATAACGGGCTTCTGTGGCGGGAGTGCCCCGCTGTGGCTGGTGGCTAGCGTGGGATTTTCTGCAAGGTTGAATACATGGCCGACGACTTATAGCTTTTTTTTTTCCACTGGGACAAGTGAATGAGATTTTCTTCGGTGACTTTACCTTTTCGTTTTCTCACCTCATATCATTCTTAGATAATTGTTTAGGGGCTTGTAGTATCAGATCATGGGCCCAAGAGGTAGAGGCCGTGCCGGATTCCGGGGAGGAGGGCGAGGGCGTGGCGGCGCAGGAGGACGAGGAAGAGGCAGAGGAGGAAGCAGGGGAGGCAGATCATTTGGTCGCTCATCCCGCTTCGACACTGCTCGTGTTGAAGAGAAAGAGTATGACCCATTTCTGATGTTACACTTCATTACTTTGTATCAAAACTAACTTGACCAGGTCATCGGATGAGGATGAATCCGGAAAGGAAATGGGCTCTGAGGTGGAGGAGGACTCTGATGTTTCCATGTCTGAAGACGAGGAGGAGGAGACGCCCCAAAACGCCCGCCCGTATATGGCACTTCTTCAAGGTTTCACAGAATCTTCGGAGCCAAGCGCTAAAAGAAGGAAACTCGAAAGTGGCACGTCTGCGGCCCCTGCACAAGCCGAGTCTGAATCCGATGAGGACGAGGACGAGAAGAAAGTCGAGGATCTCGACAGGGTTGAGGAGGCTGAGGACCCGATGGCTGACCTGGCCGAGGAAGAGGAGCAAAGCGATGATGAAGACGAGGTGGACGCTTCAGATCCGTTCGACAGCCACTTCACAACCCCCGACGAAGATTTGACCGCGAAGAGAGTCAGGGCGATTCAGAAGAAGGACTGGACGTTCAAGCGGACCATGTCGAAGGTTTCGAAGGCAGTCGTGACGTATCCCCAGGTGGAAGACTCAGATGCCCCAGCGATTCCTTCGCCGATTTCCAGCCTGGACGGGCTGAAGCTCAAGCAGAAGCTAAGGGAGACTGCCTCTAAGAAATTGGCTACGCTCAACCCGCTGCAACAGGCCATTGCCCCCACGATCTTCAGCTACAGCGACGTCCTGTACGATAACCGTAACACTCAAAACTCTGAAGGGTTGCGGCAACTGGTGTGTTTGCATGCCGTCAACCACGTCTTCAAGTGAGAACATCCACAACACCCAGTTCAGGGGTAATCGCTCACACAATGACAGGACCCGAGACAGAGTCATCAAGAACAACTACAAGCTCGCGAAGGAGGAGAACTCGGACCTCGAACTCAGAGACCAGGGCTTCACGCGCCCCAAGATCCTCTTCATCCTGCCGACGAGACAGTCCTGCCTGAAGATCGTCAACACGATCGAGGAGCTGTGCGCACCGGACCAGCGAGAGAACCGCAAACGCTTCGAGGAGGCGTACACCGAGGACGACGTCAAGTTCAGCGATGACAAGCCCGCCGACTTCCGCGAGCTCTTCGAGGGCAACGACGATGACATGTTCCGCATCGGCATGAAGTTCACGCGCAAGACGGTCAAGTACTTTTCGCAGTTCTACAACTCGGACATCCTCCTCGCTAGTCCACTGGGTCTCCGCATGGCCATCGGCTCCGAAGAGGACAAGAAGAAGATGGACTACGACTTCCTCAGCTCCATCGAGATGGTAGTCGTCGACCAGGCCGATGCCTTGCTCATGCAGAACTGGGAACACGTCGAGTACATTTTCGAGCACATGAACCTCCAGCCCAAGGACGCCCACGGCTGCGATTTCAGCCGCGTCCGCAGTTGGTACCTCGAAGACTGGTCCAAGTACTTCCGCCAGACCATCATGCTGTCGGCCTTCAACACCCCCGAGCTCACCGAACTCTTACGCACGCAGTGCTACAACTGGGCTGGCAAGGTTCGCTTCCAGGCCGACTACGCGGGCGTCCTCACACAGCTCGGCCTCAAGGCCCGCCAGACCTTTTCCCGCTTCGAATGCCGGTCTATCGATAAGGAGCCTGACGCCCGCTTTGATTACTTCGTCTCGGCCATCCTCCCTTCCCTCATCAAGCGCGCCAAGAGCTCTACCGGCACCCTTATCTTCATCCCCTCGTACCTCGACTTCGTCCGTGTGCGCAACTACTTCGCCACGAACCCGGCCGTCGCGGCGCTCTCCTTTGGCACCATCTCCGAGTACGCCGATGTGCCCGAGGCCTCGCGCGCACGCTCCCATTTTCTCACCGGCCGGCACAAGGTTCTCCTGTACACGGAGCGCGCGCACCACTTCCGCCGCTACCAGCTGCGTGGCGTCCAGCGCGTCATCATGTACAGCCTGCCCGACAACCCCATCTTCTACCGCGAGATCGCCGGAGGCTATCTCGCTCGCAGCGAGCAGGACCTCAAGCTGGATCCCGGCCAGGGCACCGTCCGCGTCATGTTCTCTAAGTACGACGTTATGAAGCTCGAGCGCGTCGTCGGCACGCAGCGCGTAGGTAAGATGATTCAGGAGAAGGGCGATACCTTTGATTTCGTGTAAGAAGACAAAAGACAGGAGAGCAGCGGATGGAGTAAATGTGTTTCTGCCTGATGGCGGCAAACGTGAAAAGTCATTGTGTCTTTTTTTGGAGCTTCCCGTAGTATACATGTATACCCTACACGACCGTAATTTATAGACTGGCCAGGTATTTTCCCACTGATGATACACCGTTTCTTTAATGAGTTACAGATTTGGCACGACCTCATCTTCCCCGCCTTCCTCCCCTATCGTTCAGACGTAAACCCCGTTTCCCACATAGCGCGGGTTCACGCCTCGGCCTCCTCCGTCACGGCCTTCTTCCCCTTGCCGCCGTTGCTCCTAGCGGTGAGCTGGCGGAAGCTGGCGACCATGTCGGCGAAGACCGACTTGCCGTCCTTGCGGTACCTCGTGACCTTGGCGACGTTCTTCTTGGTCAGCTCCGTGTGCTTCTTGCCGGCGTCCTTGTCGAAGGCGACGGCCTTGGCCGTCATCATGAAGCGGGCATCGCGGGGCCCGTCGACGAGCTCAAGGATGGCCGAGGGCGCCTGATCATAGGTGTTCCGCGGCTCGGTGCGCAGCACTCGCGTGTAGCCGCCGGGGCGCTCGGAGTAGCGCTCGCGCAGCTCGCCGAAGAGCTTGGGGAGGAGGTCGTGGGGGGTCTGTAGACGGACACGGTCAGCTAGTCAGCTCCTCGCGTTTCTAGTCCCACACGTTGGCGACATCGCATGTCGAGGGGTAGGCAGGGCCGCAAGGGGTGGGTGGTGTGGTGGGCGCGGGTGGACTGACGTAGAGAATGGCCTGGGCTTTCCGCCTCGTCTCCTCGTTGTCCCGCTTCGCGTAGGTGATGAGCTTTTCGGCGAGGCGCTGGGCCTCCTTCGCCTTGGCGTAGGTGGTGTGGATGTGCTCGTGGGCGACGAGGGAGGTGACGAGGCCACGGAGGAGGGCCTGTCGTGCCGACGAGTTGCGGCTCAAATGCCTGTACTTGACGAGACCGCCCGCCATGGCTGCTGCTGCTGCTGCTGCTGCTGCTGTGTGTTCGTTGTGGGAATTGGCTCGATTAACCGGCAGGCTCGCTCAATTGAGGGACTCGGAACGAGCAGGAGCTTTTGTTGAGGCTCAGCGCCGAAGCTCTCTCTGATCCGTACGGCCGGGTAGTTCACAGGGCAAGATCGAATCGATGAGGCGCGATAGCCTTTCTTTGTCTCTCACTGCCAAATTTTTGGCACTCGGGCGGCGGCGTATCCCCGGGATGGTCGTTCCTGAGTACCGAGTGGGCTCCTTCAGAGGCCGCTGGTTGGCTTAGCGGGTGCGCCCATGCGGGTCACCCTCCCAGCGGTCTTCTTCCCTTCCCCCCGTAAGGTACCTCTACCCCTGCGGCGGCTCGCCAAAATCGACCCGGAGAGGCTGAAAGTCGCTCTCTCGCAAAGCAGCCCGATTAATTAACGTCATTCCCACCGAAGCTGGCCGTCCCGCTTCTCGGAAAGCACCCAAAACAGCGACAATCGCCAATCCGAACTGACGACGGTCGCCCTCAGAACCGCATCATGATACCTTGATTCAAACCGACCTTTTTTTAATACACGGAGAGGATTCCACACACTAAAAAAGCACGGCTCAACTGCGCACAATCGCACCGTAATCGGGATCGAACAAGTGCCACACCATGGGCTTCACCACAGGATTCGTACGTCGCCCCCCCCGCGCTCAGCCGCCCGCCTCTTGTCCTGAACCTCCAATTGGCGCACCAGGCAACTAACTCGGTGATAACAGACCGGCGGCGTGACCGTGACCCTCGGCGTAGCCTACCTCACAGTCCTCGCCCACCAACGCAACCGCGAAAGGCAATCCCACATCCTCCGCTCGCAGACCCACGTCCTCTCCTCCGCCCTCGAGCCCCAGCTCCGCATCCCCCCACCCCTGACGCGCTCCGAGCAGGCCGTCAAGGACCGCGAGACCCTCGTCACGACCGCCAAGGACCGCTGGAACCACGAGGTTGAGAACGCCGTCCGGTGGGCGCAGCGGACCGACTGGACCGAGGTGCGCGAGGGGCTCGAGAGCACCGTCGCCAGGCTTTGGGGCGGCGCCATCGAGAAGGCCGGCGAGGCGGAGCAGGCCGTCGAGAAGAGGGCGGTGCCGCTAGCGCGGGAGGCGTCCGCAAAGGGCGCCGCGTTCGTTGAGGAGAAGGGCGAGGGCGTCCGGAGGGAGGCGCGCAGCGCATGGGAGCGCGCGAAGGAAAAGAGCCTCGCCGCCGAGGAGACGGCACGCGCCAAGGCGGCCGAGGCGAGGAAGTACGTCGACGAGAAGGCAGCCGAGGCCAAGGCCGCCGTGGGCGAGGCTGTGGAGAAGGGCAAGCAGCAGGGCCAGGCGGTGCTCGTGGCGGCACAGCAGGCGGCGGGCGTGGCCGAGGACAAGGTCAGCATCAAGGCGGACGGCAAGGTGCTTCCCGCGGCGTCACCGGTACAGAGGGCGCTGCACCAGCGGTACGAGAAGCCGAGCGGGCTAACAAAGTCGGTCAAGGAGGTGCTCGCGGAGCGGTACCAGCCGGTCGACGACCGTGATAACACGCAGCTCAGGGGTATCTGAACTGGCCGTCGGACGAACAAGAGTGTGTCTTTTTTCCTCCTTCGTGAGGAGACGACGGGAGACGCAGGAAGGCGCGGTGTACTACCAGACTACTTATAGAGTGCAGAGAAGAAAAAAACAGCAAGCCTCTTCTTTTTTTCCTTTTGTGGACGATTTGATGTTCCCTCCTCCTCAATCCGCGAACCTCAAGAGAGCGATGTATAGAATGTCATGGGCGTGGCACAAACGGGACCGTATGACCCTGAGCTGATGTTTGCTGTCCGACACTGTCGCTCAGGGGTCCGCGGAAGGCGAAATGAAGTAGACAAGGGTGACGAGTGACAACCCGGACGACTTGGTTCCCACGCCATGCGTTATTTGCACGCCGGCTTCAACCACACCAACCCCCGCCAGCTGTCGCGGGCTCCCATCGTCGGGCGGGAACACACCCCGTATATCAGCCGGGCCTTTCCCCTCATTAACACTTGAGAGCCCCGAAACGCGGCATGATGGCCGATTCGCAACCGCCTGCCCTCCACGGCCGCCCGCGAGCAACGCCGTACCGCTTCTTTGTCCGCCTCCGCGACCGTCTCGAGCTCGTCCTCGAGCGCTTCGTCGACGGCGACCCCACCGCGCAGGCGGGTTTTGAGCGCTACAAGGCGGATCGGGACAGGAGGTGGGCCGAGAGGGACGCGAGGAGGATGAGGAAAAAGAAGAAAAAGGAAAAGAAGGTCACGGCTGCGGCCGTTGCAATATCCGTCATCAACGGCCCGACAGACGAGACTCCAGTCGGGGACGCCGCCTCTCCCGGCATGGACAATGTTTTCCCCCAGAACCACGCCGACGAGGAGACGGGTCTGGACGCCCCGAAGACTGGGGACAAAGGCAAGGACAAGGGCAAAGATAACGCGCCATGCCAGGGAGACGACGACGACGACGACGACGTGGGACGAGCGCCCGGTGCCGCCGGAGGTTCGACAGCGAGACGACACACCGACGCTCCGCCGCGCGGCACCCAGAGATCGGGCACCTTCTCGTCGCTTGTCGGATCCACCCTCGGGGAGCAGGGACGGCGCAAGAGGAAACGGCCATACGCGAGGCCTGGGTACTTCGACCCCGACCCGTTTCCGCAGGGGCCAAGCTGCGGCACCGACGCGACCGTCGCAGAAGTGGGAGTGGGGGACGAGGACCGGTTGGAGATGAACATTCCCGTCGAGTTGGGAAGGAGGTCGTGGACGGTCCCCATTGGTACCGCAAGATGACGAACGATGGATCGTTGTGTGCGTGATAAGGAGGAGGAGGGGGGTCTTTAGTGGCTGTGCTCCATGTAGGTCTCAGTCAATTGCACAATGGAGAGACGGGTTTGAAAGAATGTCGAAAGACACCGTATTGCCATTGCTCGCATTATCACCGCAATTCGAAACAAATGAAAAATGGTATATGACACATAATCGTACAAACGCGCCCGAACCAAAGACCGCTGTCCGTCCCATGAGGTCTCTCATCTTATTTTCTGCACCACCAAGACAACAAGATCTTCCTCACTCCTAGCGAGTGTTTTGTACAAAGTCGAAACTTTTGAACGCTCCCAGTCTCCAACATAGCATATCCGAGTTGGAGCTAAACTAACAAGGAAAAAATCGCACAGGGCGTGTGGCGTGATATGCCAGCTCTTCGCTTGGGAAATATTTGTGTGCGTGCGGAAATGTAATGAGTTGCATTATGATACAAAGTATGAGAAATCATCCCTCTCTTCCACTTCATCCAACCAAGGTCCTAGTAAGACCTTCTGAGGGTTAGGGCGTACGCACTCGCTAGAACAAGAACCCATCTCAACAACGCACCTTTGGCACCCTTGGCGCCGAGACCGAGGACAAAACGCAACCAGTATCCAACACCGCGAATCTGCACACCATTGCGGTCAAAATCGGGCTTGCCGGCCGTCATTCTATTCAGGCGTGCGAGCTCCTTAGGGGAATATGGCATGTAGCGGACACGGATGAACTTCTCCAACCACGAGGGGGTCTGGGCTATGGTCCGGCGGTGGGTAAAGGCCTCGAAGGAGGCGCGGCCGCGGTAGTTGCCCGTGCCCGATTCGCCGACACCGCCGAAGGGGACGGTGCCAATGGAGGCGTGGAAGAAGGCGTCGTTCATGGTAGCGCCACCTGAGGTCACCTCATTGAGAACTGGAAGTGCATTAGCGGATGGTGTTCTTTATGAGGGGCAACAGTGTCTACTCACTCCTCTTGTTCTCCTGGTCGTTGCCAAAGGCGAAGAGCGCCAGGGGAGTCCGGTAGACCTGGTTTGCAATGTTGATGGCGTCGTCGAGAGTGTCGTAGGGCATAATGGCGAAGAGGGGGCCAAATGACTCTTCTTTCATGACGGGGTCGAGCATGGAGTCGACCAGAATGGCGGTGGGCTCGATGAAGAGCTGGTCCTCGTCCACGGCGCCGCCCATGACGATCTTACCGTTAGTCTCGTCAATCATCTTCTTGATGCGTTGGAACGCTCTCTGGTTGACGATGCGGGCGTAGTCCGGGCTGTTCTTGGCACCGCTGGGGAAGAACTCCTTGAAGGTGGCGTTGAGGCTCTGGACGAGCTCGTCGACGATAGCGCGGTCGGCTAGGATGTAGTTTTGGGAGATGCAGACCTGGCCGGCGTTGAGGCACTTGGACCACATGAGGCGGCGGGCGGCGAGCTTGACATCGGCGTTCTTGGTTATGAAGGCCGGGTTCAGGCCGCCTAGCTCGAGGGTGACGGGGGTGAGGGTCTCGGCAGCCTTCTTGGCGATGATCTTGCCGACGGCGGTGCTGCCGGTGTATAGGATCTTGTCCCACTTGACGTCGAGCAGGGTCTGGGCCTCTTGAACGGCGCCGTTGACGACGGCGTAGGCCTTGGGGTCGAGGGCGACCTCAAACATCTTTGTCAGGACCATGGCAGTGGCCGGGGCCATCTCGGAGGGCTTCAGGACGGCGGTGCAGCCGGCGGCGATGGCGCCGATGATGGGGGAGAGGGTCAGCTGAACGGGGAAGTTGAAGGCGCCGATGACGAGGACCATGCCGAGCGGCTCCTTGCGGATGCGGGGCTTCACCATGGCGAAGGTGAGGGGCACGTCCTCGCATTTCTCGTCGGCGGCAAACTTTTCGAGGTTCTTGAGCATGTAGAGGCATTCGCCGACGCACCATTCGATCTCGGAGAGGAGGGCCTCATGCTTGCACTTGCGCAGGTCCTTACGCAGGGCATCGCAGAGCTGAGGGGTGAAATCTTTGATGGCCCAGTAGAGCTTCCGGAGCTGGAGGGTGCGGTACTTGAGGTCTTTGGTCTTATTGGAGCGGAAAGTGGCGCGCAGATTGTCTGTGATGCGGTAGATGTCGTCGGTGGAGGTCTGAGTGAACTCGGGGATCTTTGCGTCAAGTGCGAGCGACATGATGACGGCTTTGGATAGGATGGATGGGCTTTGCCTCGGGACTATCTACTTGCTTGCTGTTACGATGAACCGGCCTGGGAAGCTGTGAGAGAGGTTCGTGAGGGGAAGTTGGCAAAGTTTGAGGTTCGGGGAGGGGGCGCGGAGTAGAAGGAGCAGGAGCAGGAGCAGGAGGAAGGTATTAAAGTTGTGAGGGTCGCCACGACTTTATGCAGTTCAACGTATCAGCGGCCAAGCGGTGCAAAGACGGTGTCGGCAACTGAGCTTAAAGTGAAATGGATGAATGCAACAAAGCCCCACCCCGTGCTCGGCCTCCGTGTCGCGCGGATGTGACAGCCAGATACGTAAGGCACGACAGGCTACCTAGTAGGTATCATTCAGGTGACGAATCTTGGAGACCTCGGGTCAAACGGGGGTCCAACAGTGCAGCGCGTCTTTAGTGAACTGAATGGAGGTTTATTGATGATTGCTAGTTTCTCTAGGAGGGGAGCGCGATGAGACGGTGTGGCATGCCGCTGTATTGCCTACGACCGAATGCAATGGCGAAGTCGATGATGCGAATCCGAGCGATGATGCATACCTGCCTCCCTCGAACGGATGTACCTGACAGGTGGGAATGTGAGCCATTGGGACGGCAGGGGGCGAATCCGCTGGAAACAAGCTCGCTTCCCGAGACGGCGCGGAGAAAGGGGGTAGCTGGGTAGCTGGGAGGGGAACGGTGCGCTAAGCTAATTGCATGTGAACAACAGAAACTGTCTGGCATTCCCCATCCCGGCGTATTGAAGAGGGGCAGGGAATGGAAATAAAAAGATGCCCCGACCCGACGGACACGGGGACGTCGCCTGAAGCCCATGGCCCATTGATCCCTGACAACTTTCCTGGCGTCGGCACCCCTCGGACTGCCGCCATCATCGTAGTGTAGCTTATCAACAAGACAGACACTTCACGTCAATCTGACGACGTCCGGCTGTTAGTCAGAATGCTCTTGGTCTGGTCGGACGGAACACCCGAGCTCTACTAGTCAACAGCGTCAAGCTCGAAGCTCTAGCCAGGTCCCAAATCGACTGCGACAGCTTTAGTTCGTTTCCTCCCCACATACGAAGCGCGCGCCACCAAGCCCCCATGCAGCCATACTACCGGTAGGTACGTACCTGTAGTATGTACTCCGTACGGATATACATAGTAGGTATTACATAGTACACGTAGTTGGTGGAGACGCGCCCAAAAAAGTTACCGAGGCCCGCGCTCTATGCAAGCTGACTAACCACCAACCACGCCCCTGTTCCTGTGCCCTTTAATGGGAATGAGTGCACAGATAGGCGAGCGAGTGAAAGCTTGATGATACTGCCATCCGAAAGGTCGGTCATGCCTTTTTCAGGTAAGAAGGGTCTGGGCTCGGCTTCATTGGCCAACACACATCGGCCTAAACCAATCAATGGCCGGTGCATACCTCAACCGCAACAACCAGCCCATTTCCATGCCACTGGTACATGCCATATGTGGTGATAGGGACAACCCGCGAAAGTCACCCTGTTTTTGTGGATTTCTATAGTCTCGCTCTGACACGGATGTATACACGGAGATGTTACACGGGCAGGCCGTACCCATTGACGGAGAAGCCCGCCTAGTCATACACAGTTTTCCTTGGTCCGGTGACCATAGTCCCTCTCCTTCTCGGACGGAGGCAGAGTAGCATGCGTGGCCCCCCCTCCTTACCGGCGGGCGCTCTTCTGCTTGGCCTTGCCCCGACCCCGGACGCTTACCAGCTGAGCCGCCTCCTCGCTCGCCTTGGCCTCTGATATCGCGAGGGCCTCGTCGATCTTCGCGGCGCCGTCGACGACCCGGCCGTCCTCCTGCTTGCCCGCGTCGATCTCGAGCGACCGCGTGCGGAACGCGTTGAGCTCCTCGCGGCGCTCCTCCGTCATGCGCCACTCCTTGGGGAACTTGGGCTTGCTCTTGAACTCGTGGTGACGCGTGTCGAGGGGGATGTCCTGGAACGTGTCCTTGGGATCCTGTCATAGTTTCTGCCGTTAGCCTTTTTTTCTCCCTTTCTATATGGTTTTTCTTTTCTTTTTTGTCTCTCTTCGATATCCAACCCTGATCATCCAGGGGATGAGAGGGAAAATGCGCCTGCTTACCTTGGCAGTCGCGATCAGCTTGTCCACCAAGTCCGAAAGGTAGCGCTTGTTCTGCGCCTGGTGCTCGTACTTGTCGGAGCTCATCTTGATGATGTCCGTCTCCGGGTTGTATCGCGGGCCGGCCAGCTTCCGGAGCTTGTCCGCCTCCACGGGCGAGAGCTTGAGGTCGGCCGGCGAGAACTGCACCACCACCTTCCTCTCCGCCGGGTGGTACTCGCCCATGTACGTCGTGTATCGGAAACGCAGCACTTGGTCCTCCTGGGGCGGCTCAAAGGGCTTGGCAAGCTCTGGGATAACAAGTCAGCGAAACGACAAGACATAAAACCGCCCTCGGCCTCTTCGAGAGGCCCCTTTTCCCAAGGCAGTTGGGAAAGGGCGAGAGCTTACTGGACAGCAGCGGCATCTCCCAAGCCATGATGCGGTGGTAGTGTCTGTGCTCTCTGATCTCGTCCAACTTTCCGTGTGCCATGGGCGTCATATCGTTCTCGTCAAACTCATCCGCCGCCTCGTCTGTCGGGGCCGTTGGGTCGTCCTCGTCGTACCAGAAGGACGACTTGTTCAGACGTGGCCTCATCGTCAACTGCTTCCACTCTTGCGGAGTGTACGGCTTCTTGTAATCCTCTTCGTCCTGCCTCATCTCTTTCTCTAGGAACTGCTCAACGGACATCTGCTGGGCCGACGGGTCGAGCTTTTTAAGGCTCTCAAGCGCCTTGAGCTCCTCGGGCTTGAGGCGCTGTATCATATCCTCGATAGTATCGTGCGGTGCGCGAGTTACACGCTCCTCGGCTGCCTCATCGTTCGGCGGTGCCCGTTTCGTGGAGCTCGCGGCAAATGTTCGTCGTTGCGTTTGGGCGAATTGCCGTGTCGACGCTCGGGGGACGGCGACGGCGATGCGCGGTGCCGTTGATATCCGGCGACAACTGCGTGCGCAGATTCGGAATGCTTGCCCTGCTGCTGCCATTTTGGGCGGGTTGTTTCCTTACATTGGCCGAGGGCAATGCTGATTTCTGGGTTGTCGCGCTCTGCTGAGAATGGCGTTGGAAATTGTCCCCAGAAATTTTTGGATCGAGCTCCAGCCACATCCGCTCATCGTCAGCCATATAATAGTGGGTCCGTTCTTTCACCAGCCACTGGTCTAACGACCCTTTTCCACCTTTACTACGGCTACACTTTGGCAGGCGTGTTTTTGTAGGCCTGTCTATGATTTTAAACCATCGTTTCTGTACAGTATGCTACGTACTTGAGAGCCTTTTGTTCAGAGTTGACTCTACCACTACCTCTTCACTGCTGTTGGAGTTATTTACTAGCCACAGTACAGTTTGGCCAGACATTTAAAGCATTAAACATAAAGGATGGTCAAGGCGAAGCTATGCCATCGAATGCGAGCATTTCATCAAATTTGGTATCATAAACTATCATCAGTTGTTTAAAATCACCTCATTTCCTATATTCAAGTATCCTACACATGATCCATCTCCCCGCACTGTATCAGAGTCCAGATGCCCTGCGGTTCATGATTCCGGTACTGAATTGCTTTGCCTTGTCCAGCGTGTTTTTCATGCCCATGAACGATGCACGATGAGACTTCATGTCAGGTCTACGTTCGGAAATTAGCATGCATGCCACTCTCGCCGCATGGCAATCATTTTGAGTAACTCACCTCTGGTCCTGGCCTGACCATTCCTGCTGCTGGCCCGGTGATCCATTACCAGGACCGAAATACGACTGCTGCTGCTGCGGCTGGCCTCCGCTCAGGGGCGGACTACTCTGCCACGCCCCGGGCCCTGTATACGGCAGGTCCGGAAATGGCTGCGTCTTCTGCGGCGGCGTGTCCGTACTCGGCCTGCCCCAAGCTGCTGGGTCGTATGGGGCGTGGTAGGCACCCGACGGCTGCTGCAGCACAGACGAGTATTCCGTCGAGATTCTATTGTCGGCTACCGAGTTTGTAGGAAGCTGTGGCTGCGTCTGGCTTGCGCCGGGGTATCCAGTACCTTGATACGCCAGTGCGCCGGGGTATGATGCCGAATTTTGGTAAGCAGGGCGGTGGTCGAAGCTCGCCCTCTGATACAGCTGCTGTGGTGGAGGCTGATACTGATTGTTGGGCGGAGCCGATGGTGCAGTGGAAGGATTCTGGGCGTACGCTGCGCCGAACGAGACGCTCGGCGCGGGCTTCCGACGGATGGGGCCCTGACCCGGTGAGAGCACCGGTTCGCTTGGGACATTCTCGGCTTGGGAGGCCCGCTGCAGCGCTGGCTGATTCACGAAGGCCGGCTTCTCAGACGACTCTTGTATGAGAGTCAGCTGGTCGAACTCGTAGTGGCCGAAGGATTTGTCCACCCTCCCTGGCTGGGGATGTCTTTCCTGAGGAGGTAGCTCTGAAATGGTTGCCGAAGGAAGCTCTGCAGGCTCTTTCCCTGGCGCATTGTCTGGTCTGAAAGGCGCAAACGTATATTGGTGAAGCAGCGAGACTTGAGCACTCAGAGCAGCCTCGAGTTCTTTAGATAGCTCTCTCACTGGCCGGTAAGAGCTGTCCTCCGTCTCGGTTGCTTCATGCTCGGCTTTTTGAGCGCTGTTCGGAAACGACTCGGTTCTCGGGGCGCTCTCCGCGCTCTCCCCATCTTCTTCATTAGTTACGTCGTTTATCTTGTTGTCGATAGTCTCCAGCTGCGTCTCTCCGGTCATCGATTGCTCCTCCGCCTGCAACTGTGACGGCTGAGGTTCCTCATTGTTGTAATCAAGGCCCTGATCCCCAGCATCGATACTCACTACCACATCAGAAATTGCTGTGTTTCCTTCTACCATGGCCTTTTTCAGAGCCGCCATAAGCCTCGAGATGCGCTCTACAAGTATCGCGGTGCACTCATCATCATACCCGTATGTGATCGCCGACTGAAGTGCGTTTTCGTTGTCATGATTCGCATGAAAAATGTCAGCCCCATTATCCAAGAGGAACCTGACGCTGTCTCCGTCTCCGTTGCGAGCAGCAATGATCAAAGCCGTGTCGCCTTCCTCGTTGGCCAGGTTAACGTCAGCGCCTGCATCGACAAGTACTTGCAGCGATTCGACAGGGAGGTTGGCAACAGCATTAAACAGCACTGTTGAGTTGTCCCAGCCAGCGAATACATTGACGTCTGCTCCAACCTCCACCAAACGTTTGAGGATTTCCTGCTCTCCTGTCCGGGCGGCAGCTAGGAGCGGGCAGGTGTATTCTCCGGCACCTAGGTTAGGGTCTGCACCGCGCTCCAGCAACAGAATGACAATTTCCAGTTTACCTGACTCGCATGCAACCTGTAAAGCTGTCCCTTGAGGAAAGTTCTCGTTCGAAGTGGATGCATTCACGTTCGCTCCGCGGTTGAGAAGTTCTTCAACTACGTTGCAATGGCCTTCTGAGGCAGCCGCCTGGATAGCCCATCCGTTAGGGGCGTCAACTGCCGCGCCACTATCAAGGAGCAACTTGACGATGTCGAGTCTTCCATCGTTCGCGGCAGCAGTCAAAGCAGTTCCATAGCTTCAGGATGTTAGGTTCGTCCACATACTCGTGCCGCGGAATCGGTACTCACTAATCCCCGGTCGCGTTGGGGTCAACGCTGAATCTCTCGATGAGCAACTTCACTGTCGATTCTTTTTCATGATCTGTGGCTTCGTACAGGCTTTCGTTGAGTATTTCGGCGGAGATATCCCCGTTTGTGTACTTCCAGACAAGTTCCAAGACACTGTCCTGGTGTTCTGCCGTAGTTGCTGCACTCAAGAACAGACTGTCGCAGTTGAGGCCCCGGCGTTCCTGCAGAAGTATCTTGGCAATTTCCCAGTTCTCCTCCGCAGTTGCTGCTTCCAAAGCGTCTTGGAAGCATTCTGGGGAGGGAGAGTAGGTTAGCAACTTGTTGAAGACGTCTGCTCTACCCGAGATGGCCGCTTTGACGAATGCCTTATCAAACTCCTTCTTCGGTAGTTTGTCGGCATATTTTTCTGTGAGATGCTCGAACATGGAAATGTCGGAATGTAGACCAGCCAAGGCCAGGGGCGAGTCGAAGTTGTCATTGTCAACAGCCAAAGAGACGTGGTTTTCGACGAGCAAGCTGACAGCGGCATGGTTACCAGACCATATGGCGGCATTCATTACCGGCCCGACATCATTCGCGATCGCGTTGGCATTGGCCTTCATCTTGATCAACCTTTCCATCACTTTAACATGACCGGCAAATGCAGCCATATGTAGAGGAGTTTGTTCGCCGATCTCAATGCAGTCGTCGATGTTTGCGCCTCGCTTGATCAGCTCGTTTACTGTGTTTGTCCTTCCGAAATAAGCAGCAAAATGGAGCTATGAGAGTGTCAGTAGATGGTTCTGGAGAAGCAGGTTTTGTCGCCTTCTTCCAAATGGTAGACTAGTATGAGCTACTGAACTTACTGGAGTATTGAAGAGGTTATCTCGCTTGTTAATATCATCTCCATGGCCGTTATCGATGAGGGCTGATACAAGCTGCTTGAAGCCAATGGCGGCGGCGATGTGCAGAGCAGTTAGATCCTTGCTTTCAAATCCACTGAGCACCTTTGTCATAGAATTGTAGACAAGCAGCCATCGATATCGGATCAAGGACTGGGTCTGCCAAAAGTCGTCTTTGCTGAGTTCGTCAGCTATCTCCAATGTGGCCTTGCCGGCATGATGCAACCAATGTTTGATGGGATACGGTAGAGCCTTGTTGGCCAGTGACTGAACCTCCTCGGACTCCTCATTCTCATCGTATTGGTCGTAGGTGGACTCGTCGCTGTCCCAGTCTGTGTCTTCATTCCCATTTTCCGTCTCTGACTCAGTCTCATCGTCGTTTTCTGCTTCGGATTGTTCATCCCTCCCCTCTTCGTCTTCCTCCTGATTGTCCGCAGGCTGAGCCTCTGAATCGTTGTCTTCATCATGGACCTCCTCGACAGGCTTCTCATCCGGAGGAAAGTCAAAGGCTTCCTTTATATGTGTCATACACCTGAGCGCAATGATGCCGTGCTGCCATTTCCCCTCATCACTCGTCATGCCCAGGGTTCTCTTCGATGTCTCCTTCTCCAAAAGGTGTTCTTTGACGACCGTGTCCATGAAGCCGACGGTGTTCTCGCTCTTTCCGCTCCGCTTCACAGTCAGTAGTGGCCGACACTTCTTGACTAGGTCTTGGAGTTCTGCTTTGCCGTCCGGGGTGGTGGGGAATCCGGCAAGAACGACAAGCTCATCCTCCGTGGGCTCCTCGAATGTGAGAGCAAGCGTCCGCAGCAACTCCTTGATCTTGTCGATGTCCTTCTCATTCGAACGGAAAATCTGAGACCACGCTGCATTGAGGAGGGCGTCGAGCTCTTGGGGCATTCTCTCCAGCATGTGTCGAATTTTGAGATCGCTCTCAGCATCGGGCAGCTCGGCTAACTGCATGCAGGAGAGCTTGATCCATTGGCTGTTCGATGCCCGCTTGCCGATGAGACTGCTCGCATAATACGTGAGCGCCTTGTTGTACTTCTTCTCCTTGCCCAAGTCTTGGACCTTGTCCTGCGCTGCCTTACGCAGTTCCAGCTGGACCTGGTCGCAGTACTTGTCGTCTTCGAGGTCGATGAGGCGGATATGATCCACCTTCAGAGCATCCTCGACGTGCGAGACCTCTCTACTAGTGATAAACCATCTCGTATGTACTCGCTTATCGTCCTTGCTCTCGAGGTCTTTCATCTCCGCGTTGAGAAATTGCATCAACTTTTTTGTCGAATCTGCATCCTCGGGCAGAACGTGCAGGTTGTTGATGATGAAATACACCCTTCGGCCGATGAATTCATCCGTGAGCATATCCTGAAGGGTCTGCCACAAGTTCTCGACTGTGAGTTTTGCTGAGGGTTTTGAAGAATCATCGCCCTTCTTCTTCACAAAATGCTTTGCGTACACAGCTAACGTGTCCTGCTGGCTGATGAGTTGCCGCACCAGGGACTTGAGCAAATCCTCGGCAGTAGACAAGTCCGATGAAGGTTCACAAAAGAAATAAGCAGAGAGGAGAGGCCAATGCCCGTTGCTTGCCCTCTCGTCGGATTCAATCATTTTCCGGACGCCATTCAGCGCTGCCATGGTAGCTCGCGTCTTTCCTCTTCCTTCTGGTCCGCGGATGTATAGCACCTGTCCTCTCTTTTGCTGTTCCGTGTTCTCTGCGTCGTGGCTCTCCTTTAACCAGTCGAGATATACCGGCTCTTGGGGGATCCAGATAGATGGAGGGAATTGGGTTTTGAGCGTATCTTGCTTCTTCGATACTTGAACACCGCTTAACAACTCCTTTACCTCATTGACAACTTCTGGCTCGATGCCACGTGTCGAGTTCAGTCGGCCCTTGGCCACGAGGCTGGCGCCGTTGATGAGCCTCTTTAGGGGCTCCTTCACGAGCTTATATCGAGGGTCTTTCAAGTCACTAAATTTGACAAGGTCTCGATGATTGGCTGCCAGTCCCATCTCTTCCTTATCACCTCCCAGAGTTGCTGATTCTCTTGTTACGAACTCTTGGGCTTTCCTGGGGACGATGGTCTTGGCGATCTTCGACATAGCTGCGCCGTACCTCTCCTGTGTGAAGTCGGTTGGGTGATTCTCGTAGAAACATGCGAGCTTGATCGCCGGGCTCAACTTGTTGGCCAACCGCAAAAGGTCGTTTCGCAGATCTCTTAAGCCTTCGTTCCCAGGCGTCATCATCTTCACCAATTCCGAAGACTTGGCAACGCCCAGCTTCTCACCAACGTCTCCGAGCATGGAGGCCACAGCTGCAACGTGGGCTCCGGCGAAAGGCGTTCCGAAGAATGCGCATCCGGCAACACATTCGAACATCCTTGGGAAATGATCCCGGAGTGCGTCTGCGGCAAGTGTGATGGCCTGAAAGGTTTGTTAGTCCCGATTGGTGTTTGAAAGCAATGTGCAGCCCGAAATTCACCTGAGCAATAACCAACCCCCCCATGCTATGCCCAATAAATACGATGGGACGATCTCGAATTCCCTAACCCAAGTATCAGCATCCTTGCGAGGCCTCAGGGTAGATTAATGGTAAAACTTACTTCTCGACTTGCTTGCAGGCTCTCCAGCATTGACTTGGCAATGTCCCTCAAGAAGGCTCTGACTTTGAGATCTCCAATCCACGCAGACTCGTATTGATACAAGAGTATCCGAGCTCTGGGGAAATCCCTTGCCAGGCCATCCTTCTTGTTGGCGGATTCGGATGAGTTCTTGGTGACGCCATCGTAGATGCCTGTTGCCCAGTTGAAGCCAGATTCGGACTTCCAACTGTCTTCTGGGTGTGCACCCAGCCCTGGTACAAAGACAATGCTGCCAAAGGGTCAGCCCTCATACCGAATCCATGACCCCCAGCATAGACAACATACTCCACCTCGATATTGGCGGGATTTTTCTCCTTCTCAGGGTTATACAATTCTTTAATGCCCTGCTGAACTGTCTGATAGTTCGTCTTGGGCCTCGGGGCTCCTGGGGCGCCGCCGTTTGGCACTCTCCTCGTTCCTGTGCGGCGTATAGACATGATGTTGCTGGCCACTGAGTGCAGTATCTCGACCACGGAGCACGCGTCCATCCGAGACTGGGGAGCAACTAGCTTTGAATAAGACCACGGGAGCCAGGCAACCGCATGGGCAATGCCTCCACAGGGCTGTTGTCAGTTTGGGGGCCAGAAGCGCACATTGGTCCCAGTGAACCCCTGCAGTCGAGCGGCTCGAAACGACCTTAGCGGCGTCAGCGACTTAATGCAATGTAATCCTGTGATATCTGTGATGGTCCAACGACACCAATAGTGGTATCAGCTGAACCAAATGTCCCCAAATTCGTAGCGCTGTCCCACCGTAAGCAATAAGTCCTGCAGTGCGTCAGCGACTCTCCAGTAAATGGAACCCAAGCTCATTTCAGATGACAGGGGAGCGACGGTTAGACCGTAATGAATATGGTTGCCTGCTGACGCCTTAACCAAAAAGGGTCCCCCCCATGTCTCGTTAGCCATCTTTTAGACTATTAGAGCCGCCTTTGTCACGGCTGACACAAAAAGGCAGCATAGTGTTTGAACTCTGGCTTGGACTGATTAGATGTGTTGGGTCAGGAACCTTAGCCCTGTTGATTTAAAAAAAAAAAATCGTACCTTCACTGTCGAGCGTGTGTCGGAGCCAAACAGCGCGGAACAACTATCACAGAGACCAACACAAGACATAACGCTCCCCTCGGCGTTAAGATTCTCAAGCCGCACCATGGAAAGGTCGTCATCTGTGCCTTTCACCGTCCGGGTGCTTGAGAATGACTCCAAACCCGCAGGGCCAGTACGACAGCCCCGGGAATTCGGCCATCTCATGCCGGCAACAAGCCGAGCAAGACACGATCACATTGTCGTGGCGCAAGCCGAAGACATTGAATTCCTAGAACGAGAACTTCTCGTGAAACGCCTAAACGATATCCAGGACCTCCTCTGGATCTGCGGTCGTCCGATGCCGCCCCGGCCTCTTCATTACCAGGCGCTGACCTCACGCGAGATCCAAGTTACAGAGAATCCGGAACTTCATCTCGTCTGGGCCAAAAACCGAATCTTCGTCAAGCCGATACCGCGGTGGCTTTTGAGCCCATACTTCTGGGCCGACCACCTGGCTGTTGATGCTGCAGACCAACAGCGCCATCCGCGGAAGCAGCAGCTCTTCGCATGTGCACTCGGATTTCTCTTTACTTACACCGCCCTCATCGCGTACGAGAGCGACTATCAAATCGCCTATGACAAGGGCCTTATTCCGAAAGAGGTGACCTGGTACGACTGGAAGGCATTGTCGGCCCAGATCGTGCGGAACCATTGTTACGCGTCGGTCAATCCGCGATACTGGTACGGCGAGCTTCGTCTCAGTCGGCTGAACAAGATTTATCGCGTCCGTCTGGGGTACGTGCTTCGCGGATTTTCCAAGGTGGCCTCCCATGCAGTCTACGAGGACCTGCTCCAGGATAACTTCGCGACGCTCGCAGCGATTCTCGGTTATGTCGTCATCGTCCTGACGGCTATGCAAGTCGGGTTGGCCACTGATAAGCTCGTGGGCGACAGCTCGTTCCAGAACGTCAGCTATGGGTTTACAGTCTTCTCTATCTTGGCGCCACTGGTCGCCTGCTTTGTCATTTTCGGTGTCGTAGTGGCCATGGTCGTGAGTAGCTGGATGGTGACCAAGGTGTATGAAAGGAAGAGATTCCAGGAAATGGGCGTCGAGCCGTTTTGGAGAGACCAGAAGAAAACCGCCCGGTACGAGCATGTAGCGGCAAAGCACGAAGTGTCGGAATAGGCCACGACGGAGTTGATATCCATGAACAGACGTGTGATGAGATATGACGTGAGGTCAGTAACTGCGTCTAATGCGTGTGTGTTTGCTACAGAGAAGAGCCGGATACATAAGTGAAAGACACTGGGTTTCTCTATCCATCTACCTAAGTTGGGATGACCTGGGGTTTTTTGCGTGGCACTGTATCCGTATTTACTGGGATACTGCTGAAAGGATCCCTGTACATTTGTTGACTTAATACTTGGTGTCTGGGCGCGCTATTATAGTACCTGTGCGTGCCTACCTACCCCACGCCAGTGGGCCCTGATCGGCTACCTACAGCAGCACTCAAGTTGGACGTCACCTTTATGTGAAGCTTACTTACTTGCCTCTCAAAGCTCTCACCCATAGAACATTGTCTTTCTAAACATCAACGCCAACTCCCGCCCACTGTAACATCCCACTGTAAGAAGAAAATTGGATATGGCCTCGAAAGGAACCAACCCCGTCGGTACCGAGCGTCACTGCCTCGTCACAGTCGGCGCCACAGCCCGTTTCACCCAGCTACTGACTGAGGTCCTGGGCCCCGCGTTCCTCGACTTCCTCGCCGAGAACCGCTACACCCACCTCACTCTGCAGTGCGGTAAGGACTATGAGAACTTCTCACGTCACGTTCTGCCGCCCCTCCTGGACCGGTACCCGGACCTGGAGATCACCGCCTTCGACTTCGTCGACGACCTGACCGTCGAGATGGTAAAATGCCGGGCCCAGCCGGGCGTTCGCGAGGCCGGTGTGGTCATCTGCCATGCAGGTAAGGAGAACAGAAACACAGTGTGGCGTTGTCGATGCCAGGAGCCTGAAGACTGACCCGCATGCTACATGGAAAAGGCACAGGTACCATTCTCGACGGGATGCGCGTCAGCGTTCCCCTCGTGGTTGTCCCGAACCCGACCCTCAAGGACAACCACCAGGTCGAGCTGGCTGAGGAGATCCAGCGCCAGGGTTACGGGATCTGGGGCCGCCTCGGAGACATCTCATGGGCCATCGAGCAGCTGGCCCTGCAGCTTGATAAGACCGAGCGGCAGTTCCGGCCTCACTCTGTGGACGGCGAAGTGGCCGCCATCAATGTGGACTTGTGGCAGGTCAGCAGCGCCATGATGGGCCGGTACTCTGGGGCGCCTGCTCCTCCTGCGAAGATGGCCAAGGTTAATGGCAGTGAAAGTGCTGTCACTGGCCTTGGTGAGGTGCAGCGGGAGGAGGTCGCGCAGATGACGATGGACTAGGAGTCCCATCGGCGTTGGCCACCTCCTTCGTCCTTCTGGTAGTGAGATGTGACTGACGATTCACGACGGAGGTAGACGGAGCAGAATGGCTGTAGACATGTGTGGTTTGGGACGAAGAGGCTTATTCTGGACGTGCGGGAGATACCCAATATCATATGGCGTTCTTGGTTAGGAGGAGATAACATCATCGCTTTTTGTTTTTCATTCAGTCATCACCTATCAAAAAGGGCGTCTACGAGTCTACTTCCAGCCCGACTACTGCAGCCCAGCCACGGTCCATACCTTGATCGCGGCATCGCCACCAGCGCTCGCAATCTTGCTTCCGCCCTCGATCCACGCAACGCCGTTGACGCCGTCCTTGTGCGCGTTGAGAGCCTTAACGCGGCTCCCGGGCTTCGCCAGGCTCCACACGCAGACGTGCGTGTCCAGCGCTCCGGAGACGGCGTGCGTCCCGGCGTCGTTCCAGCTGATGCACGTCACCCTCGCCGTGTGCGCGGACCAGCGGTCCGTCGCGACCTCCCAGTCGGCCGTCTTGTACGCAACGATCTTGCCGATCTGGTTACCCGCAGCTAGGTACTGGCCGTCCTTGGAGTAGGAGAGGCAAGAGATCTGGGAGGTCGACTTGTCGAGGGACTTGATCTCGGAAAGCTTGCCCGCGCCATCCGCGGTGTAGATCTTGACGGAGTTGCCGGACCCTACCGCCACCGTCGAGCCGTAGGCGGCGACAGCACCGGGGGTGAAGCCGAGGCGGTTCTCGGAGACGAGCTTGTTCTTCTCGTAGACGTCGACGCCCTCGATGGTCGCCACATACAGCTTGCCGCCGGTGGCGGCGACGCCTTTGGGCTGCGCAGAGAGCTTGACAGACTCGCCGACAAACGTGTTGGCCGACTCGTCGACTATCCGCAGATGGTCGTCCCAGCCCACGCTGTACGTCTGTCCCGCCTCGGCACTGAACTGAGTGACCTGGTTCGTGTGCGCCTGCCCATCAACGACCGAGCCGGTGCCCGTAGCCACGTCCCACTGGCAGACGCGGCCGTCGAAGCTGCCAGTCCACAGTGTTTGGCCCTTGCCGTCGGACGAGGCGCCCAAGGCCGTGATGCTCTTGTTGTGGCCCTGCACGATTTTGCTGGGCTTTTCGCTGCCCTCGTTTAGGTAGGTCAGGTCGCCGTTGAGGTTCAAGCTGATGATCAGACCGTCGGTCCTGCCGTGGGGGTAGACAACGCCGACCTGCTGATCGCCCACGCTGACGCCTTCGCCAAACTTCCACGTCTGTGTGGCTTTACCCGCCTCGACGTCCCAGAGCTTGACAGTCTGGTCCGCACTAGCAGTGACGAACTTGGTACCGTCCTTGGCCCACGAAACAGCGAAAATGCTGCCAGTGTGTTCCCCCTCCCCGATCGAGATCGTAGGTTCGCCCGTCTTGCCGTCGTAGAGCTGGATGCGCCTGTCGGCGCCGACCGTTACGAGCTGGTTGCCATCGGGGGAGAAGGCAGTACCGAAGACGAAGCCCTTGTGGGTTGAGGCGTGCTTCGAATTGAACTTGAAGGGCGCACCGTGCAGGAAGCAGAGGGAACCGTCGTCGGAGACCGTCGCCGCCCGCAGCGGGCGCTGCTGCCGCACGGCGACCGAGTTGATGACCTTGGAGTGACCGCTGATCTCTCCGACTGAGTTACCGCTGTCGGCCGTGATGCAGTGGCCGAACCGCTCCTTGCCGTCGCCGACGGCGATGATGCGCTGGGAGTCGCCGTCCCATGCAATGTCATTGATACGACCCGAAATGATGTGGTACTCGCCTGGTGAGCAGATCAGTATCGAGAGCCGTCTACCGGGTGTCCTGGGCGTGTGCTGTACCCTTGGTGTTCTCGGCCTCGACGGCGTCCCAAACCTTCACGGCGCCCGAGACATCTCCACTGGCAACGTAGAAGCCGCTGGGCGAGAAGCGGGCAACGCTCGTCTGTGCGGTGTGGCCAACGTACTGCTTGCTCACGGAAGGGTTGTCGATGGATCGGAGGAAGATGGATTTTCCGGCCTGAGAGGATACAATGTTAGCCAGAGCTTTGTTTGTTCGAGGGTTATCGCCAAACTAACCGCATAGGCGAGACGCTCTCCTTTGTTGTCGGAGGAGAGCTGCGTCGGTTGGCCGCGCTGGGTAGCGGGCGAAGCAGCTAGAATCTTTTCAATGGTGACAGACATGATGGGTTCCTAACACGCCTATACTGAATGTAATGCAGATTGAGCCCGTCGAAGCTCTGCGCGAAGACAATGGAACAGACAGGAAGTGTGGGAGAGAAACGGGGGTTGAGCAGGGTGTCAGCTTCAAGCTATGCAGCACAATGGCGGTCGACGGTATCAAGTGGGAACCTGGACCTGGAGCTGGAGCTGGGATGACGATCCGGGAATAGAGAGGATGGAGGGGCAGTGCTAGGTAGTGCTGTTGCGGGGCATGCATGACGTTCCCTCTCGCCAGCCGACCAGTTTCGCGTTGTCAGCCGCCTGGAGTCTATTGAAGACATTACAGTTTGATGCATCTTGCCTGAAGTATGCCACAAGGCAACAGAAAACAACGTGATTAACATAGCTGTTCGGCCATCTTTCCTACAAAGTGCCCAATTTGCCCAAGGTGACCATCTAACCCCCGGCCTACCTGGTTAGTGACGATACGCAACGTGGATATTGCGCGTACGTAGGTAGCACACATCATACAAACTCAGACGGTGGCTTTAAACCTCAATACCAGAAACAGTTCCAGCTTGAGTGCGCTTCATTTCTACCACTATATCACGGTTTCGGTTTCATGTCTCTACAGAGCACATCTTTTTATCAAGGTACAGAATGGCCACGGAGCGGCTGTCTGGTTCCTCGTTGTAGCAACCCAGCATTGACCGCATGGTCTCAGCGAATTCCCTCAGGCCACCAATGACTGAGCTGGTTTCTTCAGATAACAACTTCGCTGTAGTCTCCCGCGTACACAACCCCTATTTTCTAGTCACTCTAACATGTCTTGGGAAGACATAAATGCTCTCTGGGTCTCATTGTCGATTTGTTATGCAAGTCTGACTGCATGTAGCGGGTCCGACTGCAGTGTGCGTGGATCGGGCACAGATGTAGGTATATAGATGCTAAGACCATGGTAAATTCACAACAATCAGTCGTCGCTTTCCTAGCTCAATTTGGTCAGAGCGTCCGACTTTTAATCGGAAGGCTGTGGGTTCGAGTCCCACGGATCGCGGTAAAATTTTGCAATTTTGATTTTCCCGTTTTTTTTTTTTTAAATCTTCCGGCAGACTTGACTAGCACACTACAGTACCAGCTCAAAAGTCTTGTTACAGCAATAAAGACAGCCAATAAAAAGCTACAGTAGGTGGTTAGGACATAGGGTCTTTGGTGACGCACTGTGAAGTGACCTCGAGCTATTAATGGGTCCTCTCTTCGACTCTTCTTTGGGTTATCCTTATTGCTGTAACAAGACTTTTGAGCCAGTACTGTATATATAGTATAGATAGCCCTTTCAGTTAAATGGGAACTCTACCTATACTGTACGTATAGATGCCCCATCTTCTTTCGCTATAAAATCCATGTTTGAACCAGTGGCACATGGCATCTTTGAAATTCGTTTAATTCTCGTGCAATCGAGCTCAACATACACAGTTCCTAATGACACCGCCCGAGTGGCCGTCTGTGGCGAAAGCCATACAATAAGGTTCCTTAAAGATATAACCGACCGAAAAGTTATGCCAGACCAAACGCCTTTTTCTATTCGCAGTCACTGCCAGAAAACCACACCCACACCAAAACAAAAAAATCGACATCTTGTTCATTCGTGTAGGTTTGTCAGCCGTCTATTTCTTCTTGCCCTTGGTCTTGCTCTTGGCATTGGTGGCCGACTTGGTTGATGTGACGCTCGACGCTCTAGAGGGAGCCGCGGATGTGTTCTTGCTTCCGGCCTCCGACTTGACGTTGTCTAGTGCCTTGTTCTACAATCATGGTCAGCAAGGTCTCTTTGTGGTTTAGGAGCTCGTCAGGGTTCTCACCTTGACACCATTCTTGGACTTCTTCTTCGCTGGTGCCATGCCCAGGATGCTGTCCTCGTCGTTCTCCTCATCGTCGGCTTCTCTCTTGACCTTTCCGTTGACGCCGTTTGCACCCTTTGTGGGATGGACGTCCTCAAATTCCTTGACAATGGTCGTCAACAACGTCGTGCAGCGACGGCTCAACTCGACGGGCGTCCTGCTGAGGAAGAACCAGTCGAAACGGAACAGAGGGCTCTCTGCGATCTCATCTCGCATTTTCTCATACAGGCCCGGCGAGTCGATGCCATGCTTGTCGAGAAGAACCAGCAGGAATCGATCCTCTTCCTCTGTGTACACCTTCTTGTTCGTGGTGGAGACGGAATAGTTAATTTTGAGCTGTTGCAAGGGGACGCGGTATTGAGACATCTTCTTGCGAAGCAGCTTCCTCTGGTGTTCAATCTTGCGCATACGCTCCTCGCCATCTTCAATGACCTTGATGTACTTGTTGTAGTCTGCGATCTCCGTATACCGCTGCCAGAAGACCTTGGCGTACTGTTTGACTTCAGCGGCAGTCTTGTTGTCGATATCCTCTGCGATACTCTCATAGTCATTGCGGCCGTAACGTCCGGACGCGTTGACGAACTGCTGAAAGTCGCGCCTGTTCCATTCGCCAAACCCTTGCTGTGACAGGCGTTGCTTCTCCTCCTGCTCTTCCTCGGTGAGTGGCGTCGCATTGTCAATCTCTTGTTGATCCAGCGCACGCTCTGCTTCACGCTCGTCGAGGTTTTCATCATCGCCATCAGAAAGCGGGACCTTATAACCAATTTCCTTGCGGTAGTACGCCGTCTCACGATCCTGGAGGTCGCGCAACCTAGGCGGATAGAACTGGTAGTCGTGAACCGGAACCTGCCTTGGGGCCCTCGGGGCCTTGGGCTTGGTATCCTTCTCTTTGGGAGGGTACATGGTCTGGCGGAAGTACTTGTCCATGGAGTATGATTGCTCCTTTCGCTCACGCTTGGCGGGGTTGATCCAGTTCATGCCAATGTCCTTCTTGTTGGTCTTGAAATCCTCGCCGTTCCAGGTGTAGGCAGACTCGGACGTGAAATTCTGCAGGTCGTCGATTCCAAGCTTCTCGTACCTGGCGTTGAGCTCCTTGGTTCTCGATTCACCAGACGCAAGAATCTTGTCGATATCGTCATCGTCCAGGTCAGAGCCCTTCTCGGCCAGCACACCGGCTGCGCCCTTGCTTTGGAAGACCTTCTCGGCACCGTGTTGGATCATTGAGAGAAGCTCGTCCTTGTTAGCAGCAGCCTTTGCGGCGACCTGGGCACGGCCTTGCTGGATGACAAGCTGGTCGAGACGAAGCTTTTGAGCTGCTCTTTCCAAGACCTTCTCCTCAATCGCGTTATCCGTCACAAACCGATAAACAACGACCTGCTTGGTCTGACCGATACGATGGGCACGATCCATGGCCTGCAAATCGGCCTGAGGGTTCCAATCGCTGTCGTAAAGTACGACAATATCAGCAGAGGTGAGGTTGATGCCCAGGCCACCCGCTCTCGTTGTGAGCAGGAAGATAAACTTCTCGGAACCTGGCTTGTTGTACTCGTCGATGGCGGCGATACGATCCTCGTGGGCCGTTCCACCATCGATACGACAGTACTTGTACTCGCGAAACACGCAATAGTCTTCAAGTATGTCCAAGAGACGGCTCATCTGTGAGAAGATGAGAACTCTGCTGCCTTGCTTCTGCATCCTGGCCAGCAACTTGTCAAGAACCACCATCTTGCCAGCGTTGTAAACGAGATGCTCGTCGGTGGTGTAGGGCGGGCCAGGTTCGGCGCCTTCGAAGAGGTAAGGGTGATTGCAGCATTTACGCAACTGCATCACAATGTTGAGCAGTCTTGTCTTTGACTCCCGTTTGCCGTTGGCGCCGTTGACAGCGTCAATGTCCTTCTCGAGAATTTTCTGATACCACTTGACCTGCATGTCGGACATGCCCAGGTACAAGTTAACCTCCTTCTTGGGCAGCAAGCTTTTTTCAACATCACTCTTGACTCTTCGGAGCAGGAAGGGCCGCAACACACGGTGAAGCTGCTGGACAACGGTGTCCTGGTCCTGTTCTCGGCCCGAAAACCACTGGTCGAAGGCCTCGGAGTCGCCGAAAACATCGGGAAGCAAGAAGTTGAGCAGAGCCCACAACTCGTGGAGGTTGTTTTGAAGAGGTGTACCAGTGATCAGGAGTCGATTTCGGGAGTTGAAGACGCGGATCACCTGAGCCAACGATGATTCCTCGTTCTTGATGCGGTGCGCTTCGTCGATGATGATGTATTCCCATGCGAACTTCTTGAGGTGACTCTTCTCGCGCAGAATCATTTCGTAACTCGTGATGCAGACGTCAAAGTCTTCGTTGACCAAACGGTCGTTGATGAGCGCGTTACGTTCCTCTTTGGCACCCTGAAGCACCAATACGTTGACCTCAGGGGTCCATTTTTCGAATTCTCGCTTCCAGTTGTCCAACGTCGACTTCGGCACGATAACGATATGGGGACCAGTGATACCCATAATGTGTCTCAGGTAGCCCAGGAACGAGATTGTTTGCAGGGTCTTTCCAAGACCCATCTCATCGGCAAGGATGCCAGATATACCATTCTCATGGAGAGAAATCAACCAGTTGAGACCAGCGACTTGATAGTCTCTCATCTGGCCCTTGATGAAGGCGGGCGATTCACGGAAGACCGTTTCGGCAGAGCCTCCGTGCTTCTCGTCTTGAAGCAGCTCGGCATCTTCCTCAGCCTCAGTCCGACGCAAGCGCTCGTTGCTAGCGCCGCCCTGACGCGAACCCTTCTTCTTGCTCTTTGTTGCCTCTGCGTTCTGTCGATCGATCTCGGTCATGATTTCCCGAATCTTGGGGTTGGGGTTCGTTTCGATGAAGTGGCGGAAGAGGTCAGTAAGACCCAGCAGGTATCGAAAGCGTCTAATACTGTCTTCTTCCTGTTTGGGAATATCATTTAGCACTATGTCATTGCCTGGGCCGTTTTATAACGCCAGGAGCTTGCGCCTAGCGTACCTTTGATTCACCCAAACGATCGTGTTTCTTGCCGAAGATGCTACGACGAAGCTGATTGGCTTCGGTCCGCCTTTTACGACCATCTCCCAGAGGTTCGCCAATAACGCTACTGGCAGTGGTGTTCGCATTGGTATCCGAGTCAGTGTAGTCGGGAGTCTCGTCGACTTCCTATATGCATGTCAGCCAAACGATTTTCAATCTAGTCGCGATTCGTAACGGCCTGGGGAGTATAACAGTGCGAGAGGGGTCGATGAGGAGCACGTACCATCGATTCAACGGGGTGAGCGTCTGCCGCGTCCGACATCGACGCGTCGGTGTCGGCCGCAGCAGCTCTCGAGCGAGGCGCCATCCTGACGGCTGTAAATCACTTTACGCGACTTACACGCGTTTCTTTCGACTATATTGCGCGCGCCAGGAACTGTAGATGATGTTCAATTGCCACAAATGTTTTGCAGGCGACGTTGATTGAGGAAACGCTCAAAAAAGGGAGAGCGCTTTGGTGCTGCGCGAGAGTGAACGGTCGTAGATGTTTTTTAGATGATGGAGGAAAGGTGGGATCCCTCTGCTTGAGAAGACAAATTCCGATCAGGACTAGCGTGTTTTCGCCGTGTCTTTCTCCGTGCGCCCGTCAATCAAGTGGAGTACAGCCGCCCCGGGAGATCGGGCGCGGAAGAAGGCAGGCTCCGACCAGAACGTCTCTGTTACCTCTGTTAGAGACAAGCGTGCAGCTCCACCGTCCGGTCCAGGATTGGATCAGTCAGAACTAGCGCACTGACCATGAGGGGATAACGTCAAAGCCACCTAAGATATCCTCGCTGTTGGCTCTCTCGGTTAGTGCCACTTCCCAGTGTCATGTGCTCTACCTTACGCTGAAGGCAAGCTGACCTCCGCTTCATTGACAAACAACTGCATTTTGCATCGCCGCCCATTAGACAACCTCCATCACCACCTATCCAACCTGTCAATCGCTCCGTTTTTTGGCGTCAAGAAGAGCCGAGCCGCCTGCAAATCTCGTCTGCGTATCTGCACTCGGAACCGCCACCACCACACCTTATCGCCAGTCACTTGGGGGGACCCGTTTGAAGACCCCACTCCTGCGTCAAAGATTTGTTTACCCGACAACTCGACGGCCTACATTACACCGCTAGAGGTGCGGGACTTGTCTTTTCCATTCTTTGATTCCATACTGACTCTTTTCAGTCGCTCCTTAATCTACGAGACAACCACCATGGATTCCATGCGAAGCCTCAACACCTCCCTGCCCGGCGCCTCGGCCGCAAGGCAGACTACACAAAATGACTCCCCGGAGCAACTCCTCGACGCCTTCAAGGCCGCGGCGCTCTCAGTGACGAAACTTTACAAGACCTCCGCGGCCGCTCAGTCCAAGGCCCGTATGGACGGCTACCAGGACTGCCTGGACGACCTGCTGGCGTTCCTCGACAAGGAAAAAATTGGCCTGGGTGACGGCGATGGCTGGAGGGTCCGGAGCTGGGCGACCGAACGGCTGGATGGAAGGGAAAGCTCTCAAAATGTTGAAAGCGACGACGAGGCAGACAAAGCGGAAGCTGCATCGTCCTCGGAGGCCAACAGGACAGACAGCGGCACTCAACTGTCGGCGATGCGGGGCGAAAGCCAAATGAGGACCGACTCAGCACCCCTTAGCAGCCCTCAGGTCGTTGAAGAAGAGGAGGAGCCCGAACCTGTGTCGATCACGGTACCGACGGCGGACTCGTTCACCTTCCAATCCTCACACCCGTGGCCGCCTCAGCAACCTCAGCAAGACGCCTATCTCAATCTTGCGAACCTCGACCTATCAGATTCTCGGGCACACGACACAACATCGACAAACACGAACTCTGGCGGCCGCACAACAAGACCACGACACCCGGCAAATATCCCTCGCTCAGCGTCAAGGCAAGGGAACAACCTCGGCCGCGGCGCTGGGTCGAAGCGTAAGATCAACTTTGCCGAAATCTTCGACCTCAGCAGCTTGGACAAGAACATGTTTGGCGGCGGACCGAAGCGCACTCGGCACACATAAGTCGACTAGAAGGCGACGACAACTGCGGCGGCATTCTACGCACTTTCTTCACTTTCGACTGCGGTCTACTAGGGAACTTTCCAACGACCAACATCTTGTCTCCTTTGTCTACCACAGTTTCTTCAGACATGTCTTGACGGGATTGAGCGAGCATCGACGTACATCTATCTGGAGGAAGGGTAAGGAGGGATGAATTGGGAGGAAAGGGACTTTCGCGCATCAGGAGGAGTGCGTCACGAGAGGCGTTGGTTTGGTTTTATGAAGGTGCATGGGCGGTGTTTAGGTTGGGACTGTTTATTGCGATGATGCCAAATAAAGGACGGCTAGCTAGTCCACGGCCAATAGCTACACACAGACATATCATTATTTTCCCTGTCGAACTTGTGACGATGCTGACGGCGACTTCAAAGTCAAGCCGTTACCACCGCAGGATAACGCAGGGATAATCACAAACAACACATTTCAGTATGGCAACTCTGATCTCCAAGTGATGCTTTCGGCCTCAAGTCCTTCTGTGTGGCTTTGCCACTTCGGGTTTCAAGACTCCGGATCTCCCAACTATGCAATCAAGTCTCAGCAAACCCAAATATGTTTCAACACATGGCAAAACCGGCTGCTGTAAACTTCGGGCTCGTCTCAACTCGAGGTCGTCTTCTCATCCCAACTACCATCTCGCCCTCCTGGAAAGTCCCTCAAACGGGTCAGCCCCATTTCTTTGCTTTCTCTTTTTGCCTGCGCGCCAAAGAGTCATACACTGCCTACCCCACAGCAGTAGGCGAGGGGTGTGTGCTCCACATTCTTTAGAACCCACCAGAGTCTTCATTGCAGCCCGTCACTCAAGTCTTGTCCCGTCGAAAATGGGATATCTAGGTGAACGGGCTTGGCTTCGTGGACGACTGCAGGGATCGCTTCAGCGTTTCAGAGCGAGCTTGGGCAGCATCTTGCCCATCAAGCTGTTTCCGAGCCTGGTCGCTTTCCAAGACCATCCCAAGCGACCACGTGAAAATGACCCCTGGCTCAGCGGCCGGTTCTGTCGCGACTCGCATGGAACACCCCACATGGCACTACGCTGCCACCAACTAGGTACACCACCCGAATCGACGAGATTCCCTTGCCCGCTCCCCCCTTATTCCCCCCCCACCTCATGCACACACTTCGCCAAAAACCTAACCAAACCCTAGCTCTACCTTTCTATAACCATTCGCCAACCCCAGCTCTCAACCACATGTGATCTTAGGATCACCCCTAAGATCATGGACACGGAAGGGTGGCCGAGTTGGTTATGGCGCCAGGTTAAGGTCAGCTTAACATCTGTTTCCTGGTGGGGCAACCCGCGCGAGTTCGAGTCTCGTCCCTTTCATTTTTCTATTTTTGACTATAACTTATAGATGGAACACTGGTTTGACACTGCATATACTCCGTACATACATACATACATACACATATACTGAGGAGGCCGTTGAGTATTTTGCCATCCTGTGCCGCCGCGTTTTTTTTTCCACCTTCAATTGCTATTTAGAGGAGGTATGACAAGCAACACCGTTTTCGCGGCAAAGCTTGTTTCTCTGCGGGAGGCAGCTGAGCGTTACGGGCCGTGGTTTGTCTGATTGTCAAGTTCCCCTGCTCTTGGCGCGCGTGGAGTGGTAACTCTATTTGGTAGATAAGGTTTCTTTCTAAGGTGATGGGGGAATTGTCCCTCACTCAAGTCGTCCGCAATCATGAACATCTCAGTCATGAGCACGAACACAGGCCTGCGCAGCCGCAATCATGCTACGATACGTTGAGCCTAGGTGCCAGATAACTCGTCATTACCCTGCTGTCTTGGTTCATATCATCCCCAGGTCGCCCTCCGCGCCAGGGCGAAAGAGAGCAAATGTCTTGATATCATCCGTACCAAAGCCATTCTTTTTTCGTTCGTCTGTTCTTCGCGGACTGCCCTAGGTTTTTACAAAAACCAATCTAACCATCCCCCAGAGATTTCCCAGAACGCCGTACTAATGCAAGCCGCGAAAGAAGACGAGAAGACGTAGCAAAGAAGGGCGTTGCTTTTGTGTTTGTTGTTAACCAAATCAGTCCCTCCCTTTCTCTTTAGTTCTCCTGCCTGTTCTTCCGTTCCCGCTCGACCTCGTACATGAAGTCGAAGTAGCCCTTGTCGAACTGGTGGACACGGACATAACCGTCCTCTCCTCCGGATGCGTAGCCCTTGCCGGTGGGGTCTGCGGCGACGGTGTTCTTCGGGTGTGTTAGTTACCGGGATCTCCATTAGCACAAGAGCTAGCCAGCTTACCAGAGGGCCGAAGTGGCCACGGACTCTGCCAACCTCGTCTTCGAAGATCTTGTGGTAGAATCTGGCCTCGAACTTTCCTTGTCTTGCCGAGGTACGGGTGACATCCATGGCAGCCTGGCCACCTCCAAGGATAACAAAGTCCTTCTTGGGCGTGATGGTGGCGCTGTTGAGGGGCGTATCGGCGACGTAGGTCTTGAGGACCTCGAGGTCCTTGGCGGTGATGAGCTATATCAGGTCAGCTTCCGGCCGAGTGGTCTAGCGTGGTGAGATATGTACCTTGGATGTCTTGTCCTTGCTAGCGGTGATGAAGTAGGTTCTGTCCTGAGACCACTGGAGATCCGTGATGGGCGTGTTGAGCTCGTGTACGGGCTCGTTGTAGATCAGGTCACCGTTCTATAGACAATCAGCATCATACCTCCATCCGGTGGCATACGTCTCATCAAACCCACCTTGGCATCATACTGGGAGACGGAGCCGTCCTCGTGGCCGGCGATGATGTACTTGGTGAGGTAGCTAAAGCCGGCGACGGTGGCCTTGCTCTCGTCGCACACGATAGTCAAGGCGCGCTCGTCGGTCTGCTCGGCCTCGGGGTCGGGGTTGATGTCGTAGACGATGATGTTGCTAAGGAAACCCATGCGCTTCTCCGTAACACCGAGCAGCTTGGTGCCGTCCTCGTTGAACTCGACGCGCTTGACGGCGGTGGGGAACTCCCAGGTCTTGAGGTTCTTACCCGTCTTAATATCCCACAGTCTCATCGTGTTATCGGCGGAACCGGAAGCGATCATGGTGCTGGTGGGGTCGACGTCGACGGTCCAGATGGCACCGACGTGGCCGTGGTAGGTTCCCAGACGCTCGCCATTGTGTGCGTACCAAACGCAAATCTGCTGATCCTTGGAGGTCGAGAAGATAAGATCGCCGTCCGAGTTGTACCTATTAAAGATAGCGCATCATGTCAGTTACATGCAGCCCCTATCGTCAGACTAAAGGAGCGCTTCGCCCTCTTCCCCCTCTTTCCTGGATAATTTCGCAGGCGGGGACAGGAAACGTACTTGATCTGCGTGAGCGCACGCTCGTGACCTGCCAAAAGAATAGGCCTCATATTGTCTGATTATCGAGGATTATTGCGCTTCGCGGTCTCGGGGCTTCTATTTGCGGAGGGCGGTGTTGCGGCAGGGGACGTCGGTCTTTAAATGGCTTGCGATGTCGTCTGGCAATTTTTGCCCTTCACCTCGACATTGTGGGTTTCGGTGCACTGGTGTGGGGCGCACTTTTTTCCCCGCGACCATTCTGCCGGCTGAGGTGAGCAGCCACTCACCGCCTTGCGCCTCAGGCACGGTGGCGCAGCCATCCACCACACCACAGCTTGCTATTTCCACCTCGAGCTCTGGGCCTAGGCAGGCAGGCAGGATAGTCTAGGATACTTCGACTGACTCAATTCGAGGTATTGCTTAGGTACTCTAGCGTGCCCAGGCGCGTCTCGGCCTATCAAACCTTTCTCTTGGACTGAAGCTTCGTGCCTATCGCCCGTCTAGTCCAGTCTGGTCCGGCCAATGCCATTCGTTCCAGAATCAACGCGGCATCAGTCACAACGTCTCTTTTGGGCAATCTCGACTCATCGTTGACTCAGTTCCAGTTTTGTGCACCCGATGCATTTTCCGGACTTAGAGCACTAGCAGCCAAACGACGCATCGGGCCTTCGACTCGAAATCCTCTAACCTCAACGGGCCTCAAGGGAACCTGAAGTAGTTTCAACAACTCTTGTCTAGCGGGATGCTTTCTATGCGAGAGCAAAGATATCAGACTATCCAGACTGCTGTCGTTGTGCTCTTTGTCTTGTACCATATTTGTTTTGTCTTTGTCCCCTTTACCTCCGGCCTTCTTTTCGACATCGATTCGGTCCTCGCTTGCCAACCTCTGTTGGCTTTCTTGTTTTTAATCTGGTTCAATAACCAACCAATTGTGACATTTTACCTCATCTCATTGAGAAGCGCCTGGACGTCGAGTGTGTCGATTACTTCCACAGGCGCAGGCAGTCGATACCAAAGCTGTCATTGCGCCCCCCCTAATACCCATAACTCGTCTCTTATCGATCGGCTTTGAAGCCGGGGCGGTTCGGGCCACTCCCGAAACTTTTCGACCTGCCTAAACCGCCGATCCTTCCCATTGACACTGCTGGAAGTTGGAACACCCAGAGTCTGCAGAGCCAGTACCAGGAACTCCTCAGTCACACACACGACTCACAGAGCTTATCGCTTAGATCAACCCAGTTGCCTAAAGGGAGATCCTGCTGGTGAACCTGCGGTGTAGACCAGGTCAAGGCTCAACGCAACATCTCGGGGTTCGGCATGTCATCTATCAGCCAGTTGAAGGGCACGCAGAGGCTGTCTTGGCCATGCCGTCTCGGACTGCCCAAAACGTCTTACGCTCGGCTTCGAACCCGCATTTTGTCTTCCAGGGCTGCGGCATCGGCCCCTCACCATTCGCTGGCTCAAGCTACCGCGTCCCGCCAATTGCCTCAGCATCAGAACCTTGAGGTAGCTACGGACCAAGATCCATCAGGCCGCCGGCCCTGCAGAACGCTAAATTTCGAGCCGGATCGCTGTCACCCACCCCTCATTCTCGTCGCTCCCGCTTATACCCAGGCTGCGCACTTGACTCCGGTCTCTGTCCCGACAACTTCATCATCCTCCCGTCAATTCACAGGCTTTGCGTT